CATTCATCTCGCCGGCGAGAAAGTCTCAAATCTCTCTCTTTTTCTTATTAGATTTCTCTAGTTTTTGAGGATCTCCTTTTTCTTTTTTCCTCTCTCCCTCTCGTCGGATTTCATCTCCAATCTACCACTGAGATGTCAAGTCAACAAAGATAATGCTGGATGAGAAATATCGAGCCAAGGTATCTTATATTGGAACTTTGGTAGTTTCAGGTACAATGGGATATATAGATCCAGATTATTTTCAGTCTAGCCTATTCACAGGCAAAAGTGTTGTTTATAGTTTCGGGGTCGAGCTAGCAGAGCTAATCACTGGGGAAAAGTCTATTTTGTTACTAAGATCTCAAGATAACGGAGCACTGGCAACTAATTTGATTCTTGCAATGAAAAAGAAAGTCTCTTTGAAATTATCGATGCACTGAAATGACTAAAAGTTGGAACAAGTGATTGCAGCAACCCAAGTTGCAAGGAGTAGTCTAAATTTAAAGGGAAAGAGAACTGTCAATAGAATTAGAGAGGTTTCGTTCATCTCTTGGATATGTGCAACCATTTGTGTATATTAGCGAAAACAATGAAGAAGAAAGTGACAAAACCGTGGAAGATAACATAAGAGGAGAATCGTTTAATGAACTAGTTGTTACTGCTCTGCTTCACAATACGATATTTTTGCTGCCTCGTCTTCGTTGTGGGCAGATGTTGAACCTTTATTTCCTATGCATACAAAGTAGCCTTCCATATGACTGTATATATTTTTTTTATGTTTTTGCTTTCATGTTCGGTTTTCAGTATCTAATTTGTATGTGTGAAAGTATTTTCTATTAAAGTATTTTTTTTATGTTTTTGCTTTCATGTTCGGTTTACTAAATGTGTGAGAATAATTTATTTGCTATAATTTAATGAGAGGATTATGGATTTCTTTTACGAAATGGCAAATGAGAAGATATTTACTAAAGAATACAATAATTGGTATTCACAACCAACCAGTTTTAAGTATTGTTTTTCTAAACGTATATGATTTCATAAGTGAATAAATTCCATAATTATTATTTTTACTAAAGATTTAAATTCTTTTGAAAATAAAATTTAGTTAGGAAGCTGATTCGAAGTGACGCGTCTCTTTATAATAATTATTTGATTCCAAGTATTTAAGAAATTACTGAACATATATTATTTTAAGATTGATTTTTGTTTTAGAATTATTGAGTTCACAAAATATTTATGAATTTTCATAATACTCAATTTTTTTTTTTAATTTTCTCATTTTTCAAAAAAATATTTTGGACTGTCACATCTCTGTATTATAACTCTTCGTTTTGTATTTTTGTCACTTACAAATATTTTAACCTTTATAAAAAATGGATCAAAAGTTCATGTTTTCAATCATAATTTTCTATTTTTATTACTTATTAACGTTTAAAAGTCTTTGAGAATTTAATAATTTATCTAATATTTTAAATATTTGAATAAAAATAATTTAACACATAAAAGCAATCATTAAAAATATCAATAATTAAAAAATAAAATAAGAAGATTATATTTTAATTTTACTATAGTTAAAGTTAACGGAAAAACTTAATTTTGTTTGTAACTAAAAATATATAACTTCCTTATTTTTAAAACAAATAGATAAGAGTATATTGATTTAAGTAGATATATCCCATTATTTGTGGATTATCCATGACGTGAATTTTGGTCCCAGGAAAATAAAAATAAAATACATATATTTCAAAGCTGTTGAAGAATATATAATTTCTGTCTTTTAAGAGGAACCGTGTTCAGCAAAAACCGTGTTCTTTTTAATAATGAGATATATTCAGAACTCTTATTAAGCTTAACCCTCTTATAAAAAAATATATATATATATATATATATTTCTTAAACAGTTTTTTTTAGGGATATGCTACTTTGATAAAATAATAATGAACAAAATAAAATCCTTATTTTGCTAAAACCGTGTTTTCTAAATTAAAGAAAAATATCTCTTATTTTGCTAAAACCGTGTTTTCTAAATTAAAGAAAAATATCTCTTATTTTGCTAAAACCGTTTTTTCTTTTTAAATAGATATATCCCATTATTTGTGGTGAAACAAATCTTTTAAACTGTTTTTCTTTTAATCCAAGAAATGACGTGAATTTAGGTCCCAAGAAAATAAAATACATAAATTTCAAATGAATTTCAGTTAATTTAGAGAAAAAGAAATAAACAAAATAAAATCCTTAATCAAAATAAAAAGATTCCTTAAACCGTGTCTTTTTTTAATTTGAGATATGGGGTGAATCCAAAAAATAAAAATAAAATACATATATTTCAAAGCTGTTGAATTAATATCAGTTAATTTAATACATAAACGCAATCATTCAATTTTTGTAACAGGAAAATAAATATCAATAGTTAAAAAATAAAATAAGAAGATTATATTTTAATTTTACTATAGTGAAGGTTAACGGAAAAACTTAATTTTGTTTGTGACTAAAAATATATAACTTCCTGATTTTAAGAACAATTAGATAAGAGTATATTGTTTTGTTCCATAAAAAGGAAAATAGATATATCCCATTATTTGTGGTGAATAGATCTCTTATTCAGCTAATATCGTGTTCTTTTTAATTAAAGAAAAAAATCTCTTAAACCAATTTTCTTTTAATCAAAGATATGACGTGAATTTAGGTCCCAATAAATAAAAAATTACATATATTTCAAAGCTGTTGAATTAACTTCCAAATTTATAAACAAACAAATAAAAATACATAATTTCTGTCTTTTAAGAGGAAAAGAGATATATCTCATTATTAGTGGCGAACAGATTTCTTATTCAGCTAAACCCTCTTATAAAAATAAAATAAAAAATATTTCTTAAACCGTTTTTTTTTTTAATTTGAGATCTCAGGTGAATCCAAAAAATAAAAATAAAATACATATATCTCAAAGCAACTGAATTAATTGTTAAAATAAAATCCTAAAAGGATTTGGAAATAAACAAAATAAAATCCTAAAAGGATTTGGAATTGTAAAGCATTATTTAAACAATATTGGTGCACCTAGTCTCATCATAATTCATCAACACAACTCTCTCATCTTTCTCTCATTAAGCGTGTTCGAGATCTCACAAACTTTCTTCTTTGCTTCTAAATTTCACAAACTTTTTTCCTCTTCATACATACAGTCTAATCATGGCCACAACTACGAAGATCTTCGGATTCGTGCTGCTGGTGATAACAACCTTCATGGTTTTCTCGGTTTCCTGTTCTTCGGCAACGGTATACAAAGTTGGAGACTCGGATGGATGGACTACCAAGGACGAAACCTATAATTATTTTTGGGTTGCGGATAAAGAGTTCCACGTGGGAGATTCTTTGGTGTTCGAATACGATCCCCTATTCAACGACGTAACTCAAGTCTCTGGTGCCTTGGAGTACGAATTCTGCGACTATTCTTCTGCTAAAGCTGTCTACAACACTGGACATGATGTCGTAACCCTCACGGAACCAGGTTATATGTACTTCATCAGTTCAAATCGTCAACAATGCGCATCCGGACAGAGGCTTGTCGTTCATGTCGTTCATGACCCGTCACGTCCCATTCCTCCACCACCACCGAGCAAGGTCCTTCCTCTTGGAAATATCTACAAAGTTGGTAACTCTAAGGGGTGGAGTGTTCCTGAAGAGACCGACTTTTACTACAAGTGGGCGGAGCAGAGTCACTTTGATATTGGAGACAAACTACTTTTTGAATACGGCAATGAAGACAACGACGTCTACGAGATCAGCGGAGACCTTGAATTCATGTCCTGCGACCGGATTTCTCCAATATCCGTGCACAAGACCGGACACGATCTCGTCACACTCACCAAACCAGGAGTCCACTACTTCATTAGCTCAAAGACAGGTCACTGTGAGGCTGGGCTTAAACTACGAGTCATGGTTGGACCACTCACCAAACCCGTAACTGTCCCCAATGTTCCTGCGAAGCAGATGGAGTTGACACTTATGGACCAGTACAACAGATGGTTAGGCACCTTCAGGCCTCAACCTCATCACTAAGCATTCGCTTTTGTTAACTTTGTTAGAATTTTTGTTTCTAATTTAGTTTTTTTGTCCTCATCGTTGTAGAGTTGCTTTGATTCAATCAGTATTAATAAAATTTCAGATTCCTTAAAACATTATTGAAGCACAAACTAATAATTAATATCTAAAGCCTCTTTATCTCTACAAGGAACCAAGTTATAGTGTTTGCCATAATAATGTGAAAGAAACCCATCTTAAGATTCAAGTTACGAGCCTTCAACAAAATTGAAACTATAATTATAATGTTGCATTGAGCAGCTTTACAAAAGAAAACATTAAGAAAAGAGTAACGCAAGACTGAAATAATAAATATTTTTATAGATTCCTACAAAAAAAAATATAAATATTTTGATAGAGGAAAAAAATCAATCACTCAAAAGTTTCCAACACTTTGATAGATAGAACTAGAAATTGCGTAACACACTGAGAAACAAAAAATATTCTAAAAATATTTTCCATCATACCTTTGGAACGTTTTAGTTTTGCCTGGACAAAAATCCAAACCGAAACCGACCCGAAAAAACGGTTCGGAATGGATACGGATATTAGCTATTTATCCTATTGGATCTTGTATTTTCATACCCGTGGATATACGGTAAAACCCGACCCGAACCCGATACCGGAACGGGTACCCAATTACCTGAAATTACATAACTAATACATAAAAAATTTTATATATATATATATACTCTGTTGGGTCTTAAACTTCTCTACCCGAAAAATCCGTACCCGATCGGGTTTAAGTTGCTAAGAATATGGCTACAGAAAATATTAAAAAAAAGAGAGCAAATATTACTATACTTATTTTCTTGCAAATATATAACTATATTTTGTACTGATGCATCAGCTAAATTCAGCTAAACCAATTTCCATTACGAGACTCAGCTTTATCCCTTGTTCCATCCTCAAGCTAGTAAATAAGTTATACAAAGTTACGTAGAAGGAATAAATTTTTATAAAATGAATTTAACACAAAATTTCAGAGAAACACAATAAATATTAGATACCCCAACATATGAGTTATTATAACATATTCATTAAAACTTTTATACACTTCCAATTATTTCTCGGATTGCAATGTAAGTACCTAAAACTCCAACAAAAACACTCATCACTACCATTCCAAACAACATTATAGTCTCACACTTAATTTTCTTGTAATTTCCATAGATCTTCAAGTAACATAAACAAGGCAGAAGTATAGAAACCGTTACGCTCAGTAATGCTCCAACCAGCGACATCATATAGCCGAAAAAGGGAAGTGTCTCGGCGATCACGACACTACTTATGATGAAAAATGTGCTTATCAAGAGATGTAAGTAAGTCTTTTTGGCATAACGTGAAGGAAACCAATCTTTTATGGTGTTCACGGTTGGTGTGATCATCAATGCGTATTTCGCTACCGGGTTTACGAGGGTTGTGTATATTGCCACCTTTGAACTCGTCTTATGAATTGGAAGATTCAGTGTTATTTGTGATAATGTTTGTGATCCATACATTAAGTAGCCCAAAACTGCCATTGATGTGTATCCTATAGTGCATAGTATAAAACATATTAGTAGAACCTGCACAAACAAAGAGTGAAGGTAAACATTATTTGTTTTCAGTAAATTAGAGGTGTGCAAAAATTTAATAAAATAAACAAACCAAACCAAACAAAAGTTAATCGATCTAAAGATATAAAAACATTTCTACCTAAGTTAATGAAAAATTAATATGTAATTTTAATTTCATGTATAAAAAATATATTTTAATATATTAAAAATCTATAATATTAACTACTTAAATAATTAGTAATTTTTTTTTAATTATAATTTTATATTTAAAACCGAATCGAATCAGAATTCCAAACTGAAAACTAAACCGAAATTTATCAAAGCGAACCAAACGAAATAAGATTCATTAGGGACCTATTTCAAAATACTGTACATAGCGAACTAAACAGAAAAACTACTTCCTAGGCATGTATCAAACAAAACATAAAAGTATATGAACTCATGGATTTGTTGGTTAATGGTAGTGATTGGTTTAGGTAGAAATGACTTACATTGTTGAACTGATGTTTGCTTTTCATAGAGGAATACAAAGTGGGCAAAACTGGATGCGCACCATAGCAAAAAGCATATAAGCTCAAAGCTGTAGGGATCCCACTCCAATTAATCAACTTTCCCTTTTGATGAAACCCAATACCATCGAATGCGCCAACCCAAGATATTGATCCAAGAGTCACAGTCGTAGCTAAAACGCCACTCATAGAAACATACGACAAGACGCTTAGATTATCCCACCATAGAGTTGGCATGATGACGAGGGCGACAGTCGCCATGAAAGCTTGTTTGCCATTCAATTTCAATCCGATAATTTCGATGTTAAAACCCGGGAAAAGATTGTGAAGATTGTCCCCCTCGAGGATCAAGAAACCCGTGGTGACTAGATAGAGTTCTAGGTGCATGAAGAGTGACACAATGATTCTTCCTGGTCTACCAAATGCTCGTTCTCCAATGTCGGGATATGTTTTGATGTTGTGGTCCGCATTCATGCATTTTGTAATGAGTAAGGATGTGTAGAAGGCGGTTGCGGCTAAGAGTAGCAAAAGTGAAAGACTCAACCATCCTCCACGAGCAAGTGAATATGGTACCGATAATATTCCAATTCCTAATGCAATCCATTCCATAATTATCGATATTATCTATTAAATATGTTACAAGGACGACTAAACAAATAAGTATATCGAACCAAATAAGAAAAATGAACCTGAAAGAGCATTGAGTGCGTTGAAACATGTCTTGAAGAAAGATGAAGTTCCAACATTGTCACGTTGTCTTTCTTGGTTATCTTCTTCCATAGCTAATGACTTCTACTAAGAAAAATGAAGAACTGTGATTATCAAAGATACTTAAGAGAAAAAGTATTGGAAATGATAACATACATCTTTATGGCAAAAAGAGTAGATTTTTGGGGAAAGAAGAGGATAAAGAAATCAATATGGTTGAGTATTTTAAAGCGAAAGCAAGAGAAGCGTGGTTATTGATCATTTGATTGTGACTAATACACAACAATAATATTTATAACTTTGCTTAGTTTATTACTTGTCAAAGAAAATGGAAGCAAAAACTCTAAACTCGATTACCTACTCTAATCACACAATTAACTTGATAATTATTTATTTTTATCATTTTTTCTATAGATCAAAGAAATTTTTATAATAAGATCTAGATATCGGGTACATAAATGAGAGATCACATAAACAATTCAAGAACACTAAAATGTACCAAAACCTTTATTAAGATAGTAGAAAACAAAACCAAGAAGAAGCCCCCACAACAAATATTTTCTCTTCCCTCGGATAAACGATAAACCCTCCAAACTCTTAGATGAAGTTCACACACAAGCTTCAACCATATTTATAAGAAAAAAACAACCCAAAACCAAAAACAGAAATATAAATCCCAATGCAATAAAAAGAACAAAAAAAATGAAAAATCTAATTGAACAAAATAGAAATATAGATCCAAAGGAAATCTTCTAACCTGAAAAATAAAACAAAATTGAGCTCTCTTAAAAAGTTCGAGAGAACTATTATAAGCTTTAAGATCATGAAAGAGGAATGAGTGGAATCACACACATTTGCAAGTAAGAGGAAACTTTTCGGTGTTTGGGGGTTTTAAAGTGATGATGAAAAAATGTCCTATACGATAGATATTCAATGCCAACTACTTAGAGTCGATTTTAGCTTTTTCCATCTTTTGTACAAATAAAGATTTATGAAGATCGTCAAAATATTATATCAAAATCAGGAAAATATTCTAAAATTTAAAACCACAACTCTAAATTAAATTCTAAATCATACACATTAAACCTAAATCATAGACTCTACAATTTTAACCCTAAAACTCAAAGTTAATTTTCATGGATTTGGAAAGATTCAACCTATCATAGGCTGCCTATGTTTGTAATTTATATCTCTTCTTTAATATATTTTTTCTTAATCATCCCAATAAAAATGCTACCGCAAAAATTAGGAGAGTTAAGAAAAAAAAAATGTCGAAAATTAGACTAAACACAATTAGCTCTTGGAGGAGAAGGTTTGTTTATTTGTTCGAGTAGAGAACTATGCATATAAAATATGACTCAAGGAAATGCATGGACAAAAGCTTCAAAACTTGTGGTTTAGGAAAAAAAAAGAAAGTGAACGAACCGGAAAATAAGGAGGAGAGCTTGAAAAGAGTAACTATTTTGTGTAGTTGATAAAGTCACAAAGAGAATTGGTGATTGAAGAGTGTTTTTGGTTTTGTGAAAAAAGATCAAGAGCCACCTAGAATATTGGTAATCAAATATTTAAGAGTTTGTTATTTGGATATGCACGATACTTGGGATTTAATTGGAAGTATTTTTACATTAAAATATATAATATTAATTTATATCCATAAAAAGATTATTAGAAGTTTGACCAAAAAAAGAAGGATTTTTTAAAATAAGTTAAGCAATTAAATAGCATGAAAATATCCAAATAAAAAAAAAGAAAACGTTTTATGCAATAATTAATTTATCTAGTTAGCATTATAAATCAACAAATTTGTTGTGTTATTTTAAATATATAACTTATTTTTAATATATAAAAACCATAACTAATGCACTTGACTAAATGTTTATGGAATTTTCATTTTTGACATGAAACAAATGCTTAATTAATTTTGCGTTTAGTGTTGTTGTGTTAATTCTTCTGTTTGTTAATGCTGCTTGGTAACTTGTTTAAACATGCACACCAAGAAAAAAGGTAACTTGTTTAAACAAATAGTCAAATTTTCTCTAGAAACTTGAACGTTAATTAAGAGTAGCGTAATTTACCACCAACTTTTACTATTAAACTCCAAAAAAGAGTAAAATGGAAAAAGATCAAATTATTAATGGATTAAGGAACACATTATTCTATAGTTTACAACAAAGAAGAACTCAACTGTCAATTAAAGAAGTGAGGTTCTCAGGTAGAAAAAATGAGACAACAGCTTGAGACCTCTTTTGTTTTGTATAATCTATATTTATGTGCGACGGTGTTTCATGGCTTATCTCCAGTCGATAAAAGACTCGCAAAACCTTGTGAGAGACTTCGCTCGATTGCACAAGGAGACTTGGATGAACATCTTGGACTGTTGTTGGTTTTGATTCGTTTTAAGCTTAGTGACGAAGAGTAGGTTTTGGTTTCTGATACTTCTTCATCTTCTTCTTCGTCGCCATTGTTGTTAGATGTTTTTCTCTTTAAACCTGGAATGTTTCTTAAACCCGTGTGGGGGCGGCGATAATCTTTGTGATGCTCATCTAACACCAAAAGAAGAAGAAGATAATAAGACTATGTCAAGAAATTTTACAATCTCAGATTATAAAAACCACACATATGTACCTTCTTGATAGAGGCATGATTCAGATTCTGTGTCACCACATTTGCAGAACAAGCTAGTGTCCTTATTCGGTCCTAAAATGCTGCGAATGAACAACAACAAGATTGAGTCTCATTGTTTGATGTGTAGAGTAAAAGGTGTTGAGGACAAAAGCTTTTTTGTTACAAACCTGTACATATGCTCCACAAAGTCATCTATTAGGACAGGCCATGCACCTGAGTGAAACAAATACCATAAGATGAATCAAACACAAACACATATATACACACCTGTAATGAGAAATCTACCAATGTGTACCTTCAGAGTCATATCCTTCTAGATTCTCATGTACACAACGACTAAACGCTAAGACTTGTTGCCAAGTATCTTCTGAAATATTGTGCCGTTGATTTTTCTACATGTTACAATCATCATCTTCTTGTTAGATATACAAACACAAAGAGCCATTTGGTAAAAACGCTTATAGTTACGAAAACCAACTAAAAAGTACCTCGATAAAGTCACACCAGCGGTTAAGTAACCTAAATCTCCCAGCCAAAACAAGTTTCCATGCGGTTATAGCTCTACTTATAGCTGGAACACCATTCAAACAAGTTTAAGTATCATCTCCTTTGGCTATTGCAGCCAAAGCAATGACTACGAAAGCACTTACTTATATTCTTTTGTCCATTCTCGCGGCACATAAAGAAAACAAAATCGTAAAAGCAGGTAAACTCGGAAAAGTCCACCTACAAAAGAGTACATATCAAAGATAAGATCACAATCCAGCTGGTCTAAAACCTAACAAAGTCGCAAAAGCGAAAACTAAAGAACCGAGAGACGAAACAACTTGCCATTAAGTCCAACCGTGACATCAACTTGAACAATTCATCAAAAATCGAGTTCCTGCAAGAGAATGCAACGGTAAAAAAGCGCACGAATCAGCTCAAGAGCCGCAATGTAATTTTCGCTTCGCCATGAAGATAATGAATTGAGCACTCAAGTCCATACCTTGCTTGAAACTTATTCTCTACTAGATATAAGAGCTGAGTTAATGCTTCTTTAGATAAGTTAAATCTTTGTGATTCTTCGCCGTCACCGGGTTTATCACTACATAATTGTTGTCCTGATCGAATAGCTAATCAAATTCCAACAAAAGAAACTCAATTAGTCCTATAGCCATTCTCAAACTATAACTAAATTCAACTTCCAATTCCAATAAGCAAAAGCAAGAAACTTTATCTTGATAAAACCCTAGCTAAGTACCACCAAACCATAGAACTTAAAAGGATTCAACTTTTTCCATAGCAATGTTTAGAGAACTTAAATCAACACTATGTGGGTAATTAAAAAGATCAATCCTTTATACACACAAACAAATATATGAATCAAGAAAAGTTAACAAAACACAAATTCATTGATAAGAATTAACAGATCGAAGAAGAAGAACGATAAAGTTAAAGACTTTACCACAAAATCTGCGATAAATCTCGAATATATCGAATCGACCGGAAACTGGCGAAGAATCCATGAATTTGTCTCTCAAAGCTCGAGGCTTTTAGATCGAAGCTCGAGCGAAATCGAAGGAATCGTATTTTTTGTTTATTTTTCACTGGCAAATCCCAACCAAAGAAATCGAAGTTGGCAAATCCCAAAAGCAGAAAAAAATATGGAAGATGAAAAAATTGGAAAATCTTTTGTTTATTTTTCACTGGCAAAATTAGAGTAGAGGCTCCATGAGAATCACTTTTGATTTAATCGGACCCAAACTTAAGGCCCATTACAAGTCAAATCCATGTCATGATTAAATTTAAATTATAATAGCAAACCAAAACTATGTGTATAAAACCTTATAAATATCTTATTAACCATATAAATATTTGGATAGAGATTTTGAGTAATAGTTTCTATCAAAAGTATCTTATAATAAACCTTATAAATATTTTCAGGTTTAATGAGAGACATTTTAAAAATGGACGGCTGAAGGAGCCACTTTTGAAAATAAGTATAGCAAAAAGGAAATTTTCAAAAATATCCAATTTTTATTTGATAATATTTTTTAATTTAAATCTTAGTATTTGTATATTACTTAGTTTAATTTATATTAATTTGAATTATATAAGACTCATCTATCATTGTGCCTATAATTTTTTAATTTCATAAACCTTATAAATAGAAAATCATACATAGAAAAGTAAGGTTTTACTCTTATTAGTCTATTTGACAATTCATCATTAAAATAAAACATAAAAAAAGGTGAATCCTTTTTTTTTTTTTTTTTTTTTTTGATCAAAGAAAAAGGTGAATCCAATCTATGTGTTTTACTCTTCAATTATCTCTCTTTTAAACCATGTGTAATGGTTTCTAAGAAAAACAATAGCCCCAATCAATTGATTTCAATTCTTGGATATTACAATCAATGTCTAAGCGAAAAAAATATTAAGCCCAACTATCTCTCATTTAAATCAACCTTATTTAAAATGATTTCTCCAAATTAAAAATTTGATATATAAACAAAGGGTTTACTCATTATTTATTGAACCATGATGTATTTCTCTTTTAAAAGTATATATTTATATATTATAATATTTATCCATAATATATGACACAACAACGGATTTTGATGTTTTTTGCAACCACTGTATCCAATCTGACATGCAGAGAGAAAAATGTGGATTACAAGAAGAATAAGAAGGATTTTCGATATTTTCATAAATTTCATGAAAAAATACCTTGAATTTCAAGAATATCAATTCCCCTTGACACTTATTAGAAATTTCATTTCAAGAATTTCGATATTTTCAATATTTTTTCTCCTAAAATTTTAGTTCAGTTGATACAAAAAAAATTATTATTTAACAAGCCACGTGTAGCGGGGTCACTCACACCTAGTTTTTTTTTTTATAAAATGCCCAAAATTAGGAAACACACATATGCAAGTTATTTTAAAAGTATTTTTTTTTGTCTTAATTAGTAATTTAAAAATATATGTAAAGCAAAAATATAAAAATTACTTTTTCTAAGTATTTTCCCCGTTAACCATGTGAGTAAATTCATCACAAACCTTAAGACATCTTAATATTGCAAAATAATTTAGAAAGTTAGAGAAACCCTAATCCTTAAGACAGTACTCGTGCACATGCATGAATTGATAATGCGACTCAAAAGGCCATACTGGTGCATGTTGATACACAATGCACAAGTGTGATGATATATGACAAAAATAAATAGTATTCATCATGCATCAAAACCTAGTTTTTTCTTTTGCCATAATTACATGTGTATTTCCTCACCCTAAACATGGTTCGAGGAGATGGGTCATGGGTGGATCTCCTAGTTGAAAAAAATAGCCCATGATTTATAAATATGTAACAAGACGACCCATTCCGAGTCACATAATTCGTTGACTCGTAATTTCGAACCTGATTTGAGCAAAACTCTATGTCATGAGGATGAGGTTAATATGGTAAACCCAATTTTACTTGCCGTTGCTCCCCAATGATCCTACCGAGGAGTTGCATAAAATTTTCCAAAGTATGGACCCAATATAAAAGATCTAGTCAAGTAGTTGTAAGGTAAATAAACTGACCAACCAACCAGCGATATAACTTAGAATCTTAAATCATGTTAAATGTAGATAAAGCCAAACGATAATTTTGCTCAATCGGAATTCGTTGGTTGCACACCTAGTAACCTAGTTATCAAAAGTATGTCCATTTCATATTTATTCTATGAAAGATAGATCCCAATTTTGTTCTTAGTTTCGCTCCATGGTTGGTAATTTTTGGGCTCTGGCCGAGACGAAAAGGCATGACGGTTGAATTGTCGCTTCTCTGTTGGTAAAATCGGCTTGAGGACAGCAGCAGATCTATTAGGAGAGCGGCTTTTGTGGTGCGTCACGTGTGAAACTTCGTCATGGCTGCTCATTTTTTGCTTCCCAGGAGCTGCAGTGATGCCACTATGGAGATGTTATGGCTGCCGGTGGTAGCTAATGTACTGTCTCTGTTTGTTGTTGTCACTTGTATTACTTGATTAGATGATTTTGCTTCAAGCCCTGGTTTCGCTAGTGTCTTGCCGTTGGTGTTGTTTGAGTTTGAAGTCTAGGCGTTGCAAAGCTTTTTCTCTGGTTGCGTAAGCTCTTTGCGTTAGAGGAGCTAGTAAGACTAATGGTGATAGGTGTGGTGTTTAGTTGCTTTTTCTAGCTCTGTACTAGCCGACTTCGGGGAATGAACTTGGTAGAGTGAGCTCACATCTATTGCATAATTTGGTTCGTGAGGTTTCGTTCTGGGAAAGCTCATGGATTTGATTTTTGGGTTGCTCTCACATGACGGGGAAGGCGTATGTGGTTGAGGACTTTGAGTTATCTGCCGTTGACGGCCCGGTCTCGGACGTCCAGTGAAAGGCTTCTAATGTTATCAGTCTTTCGCAATTAGGCTTCTTCTTCTTTGCGCTCGCCTTTCAGCTCCAACAACAAATCCGGAATGAACAATCGAAATCGTCTTCGCTTCATCTAACTCCTTTAGCTTCGGGCTTTGGTCGAGTAGATGGACCGAGTTCTAGTTATGGTTTATGCTTCCATGTTTTTAACTTTTTTGCTATGGGACCATCTCTTTATGTCTATGATCATCGATTGTAAACCTAAACATTTTTCATTTTTATGACATATTAACATTTTTAGCAAAAAAAAAAGATAGATCCCAATTGTGTGTCTTACAACTGATGTAATGTGTATTTAACGGTTCTGACTTCCTAGTAATTTTTTTTTTCAATTTTCTTATAATGTGTTGTACGTCAAGTTTAGGAGTTTTTAGAGCTTTCCGATCGAGTCATGTCAAGGTACACTATATGTTATGTTTAAGGGGAAAGCGAACCATTTATGGTGCCAATAAAAAATTGAATATGAAATATCATGCATAAACATCATATATATATATTAGAATTTGATAAAGGACTTTCCGTAGTTGGATCGAGTTGAAATCTGGACACATTATAGAAAAATGTGATAGCTTTCATTTAGAGATTGTAAGAGAAAAATGTAGTTCTTCTTAATTTCAATGAAAAGGAGAAGAAAAAAAATTAAAAGGCATTTCATGGATCTCACTCACTTTTGTGTGTTATCATACAGAGCACTGACAATCTAAATTTACTTTAATGGAGTTATTAGTTGCTTTTCCTTAGATCGGTGGATAGATCTATTTCAAGCCATATTTACCGATATGGTTTTACTTATAACCCACCAAAATAAAATCTCTAATCATTACTAGCTATTGAATAATATTTGGCATTTTCTTGATGATTTGTGGCGAATTATTGTAGCCGCTGGGCCTTATCTTTTTATCTTTAATTAAAAAATAGTATAGAATGATATGGTTAATCTTTAAGATTTCATTTTGTATTGAAAATATATTTAGAGTCGTGTAAATCCTAGGATGAATAATATACCGTAAATCGTAATTGTGTTTTTAAAAAATAATATTATCAAATGTATATTTGTTAAAAAGTTGTTATGTTGTGTGTCTAATTTATGCACTAAAAACAGATGATAAGAAATCCGAAAAATATCAAAAAATACTTTTTACTGATCTCATTCACTTATGAATGTTTGTTAACATACATAGGAACTTTCAATCTATATTTAATTTTACAAAATTATTCTTTGTATAGGCCGGTCGATATATCTATGGCTAGCCTATACATATCTTGGTTTTATTTACAAGAAAAATAATTTAATTATTAGCTAGTTGTTATGGCATTTTGTGAGTTATAGTCATTCGAGTTTAATTCGCTTGCATCTTGCCGGAAGAAGAGGAAGAAGAAGAAGAGGAAGAAGATGCAGAAGATTGTGACTCGCTCTGAACTGCAACCTCAACGAATTGGGTCGTGACTTTTTCCCATTTGGTGATTGTCTGCTTAATCTGCATTTGTTGTGCGGGTGTGCATGTCATAGAACTCTTGCCTTTGTTCTGACTCACAATTTGACTATGAATGGTATCTAACTCTTGGAGAGTCGTCATCACTTGTTCTTGGTAAGCTTCCATATTCTTCTTTACCTATGGGCATAACACAAACAAACAAAAAAGATTATGGAAATGTATTAAAATGATCAAGTTGTATCCATTTGATAACGATAATTTCTTATTTACTACCTCGGCTGATTTGCTTCCAATTCTTGACCGCATAACTGCCATGGCACCAGATAGTTTCCCAGCAGCAGATTTAATCCTAGTAAACAAACCTTTTCTTTCTTTGCGGGGAGCAATCATTGTACCCTTAAGTTGCTCGAAGAAGACCTTGAATTCCTCCTTTTGTGGACACTTCTTTTCGAGGTTCATAATGAATGTCGAGACATCTTTGGACGTCTCTTCCTCGACTTGTGTCACTGTTACACTGCTGCTCTGACTTGCTTCGACATTGGAACTTCCACCAGCAGTTTTTGAAGAAGAATTCTCACTTTCACCTTTAGCTGAAGTCTCACTTTCACCCTTAGCGGAAGTCTCACTTTTACCTTTAGCGGAAGTCTCACTTTCACCTTTAGTGGAAGTCTCACTTTTACCTTTAGCGGAAGTCTCACTTTCACCTTTAGCGGAAGTCTCACTTTTACCTTTAGTGGAAGTCTCACTTTCACCTTTGGCGGAAGTTTCACTTTCTTTACCAGAGCTTTTGTTGTTGTTACTTGAACCTTCTTTTCCAACGTTAGATTCTTCACCGGAAGAAGAGTCTGTTTTGCTTTCACTACCAGAGCTTTTGCTGTTGTTGCTTGAGCCTTCTTTTGCAACACTAGATTCTTCACCGGAAGCAGAATTGGTTGTGCTCATTACCATTGTGTTTGTTATCCGAGTAATAATTGTTTCCCATTTCAAGATTCCTTCTTTGATTTCTTTTTGTTGTTCTGCTGTTAGTTTCATGGTTTCTTCACTCTCCTCTTTCTTACGACCGCCCATAATTTTAGCCGCCACAGATTTCATAAACCTAAAGGTATTAATGGCTTCCATTTTCTCCTCTTGAATTTCCTCCCTAATCTGTTAGATATTTATGCATGATGTAGTAAATAAATTGGTTCATTAGCCATAATTTTAACCTTGAAGAAAAAGTTACCTTTCCAATAGCAAAAGAAGATATGGCCTTGAAGACACCCCCGGCTTTGGCCTTCAGGTCTCGGTCGTAATCTACTTGGTCTCTTCTTCTTATTGGGCAAACATACTTGGCGAATCCCCTAAGTTTCTCAAAGAAGGCCTTGAATTTACTTGTCTTCGGACATTCCTTCTCGAGGTCCGCCACAAAGACCATTACTACTTTAACGGTGTAAGGCTCTACATCCTTCACCGTCTTTGGATCTTCGATTTGAGGCAAAGATGGCTTATATTTCAGGTGTGCTGATACTAGGTCCAGAAGGGTCACAGATGCAAAAAGAATGGTGAAACATAACAATAACTGAACTCTTGCCATTATTCTATTTTTTTGGTTTTAAATTATTCTTTTCTTTTTTTTCTTTTTTTTTTGAGGAAGAGAGACTGAAGAATGAATGAATGAATAATAATGGAATTCTTTGTCTGCTTTTATAGTTATGTTAAGTGTTCTATGTTTAGAATCATTGACCCTTTCACCATGGAGAATTGTGTGGAATAAGGTAAAAATAATAGCAAAGAGTTTCATGGTTTCACAAAATAATTGATGACAAAGTCTTTAAGTCTTTCCAATGAAATCTATAGTTGTTGTTGCCTATTTTAGATTATTCTTATATTTTCAATATATATAAGATCGTAAAAAGTGGGTTTCCTATATTAGCATAATTGGAGAAGATTTTGGCCACAATTTTGAAAACTTTGTCATTTTTTAAGAATGGTATAAAATAGATCTAGAAACTTTTAAACTCTTGAGACCACGGGATCAATGGACTTTCACATTTAAAATTTTATTTATAATAAGATTTATATATTTCTTAATTATGATTTAATATATCTATACCAATTAGCAGATATATATTTATATAGCAGTTAGATTTAAAAATTAGACCAAGGAACTAGGAAGCAAATGCAAGGAGTTCTGGTTCTGCTCGAAAGACAACATGTTCTCTTTATGCAATGTGACCAACGGTTCAACTCCTTGGCTGTCCTTGTCTAACGTGGGAGCCACACTGCTGACAACCCAAACCGGAGGTCCCCATCCATAATTGGCTTCATAAAGAGGTAATTTGCGAGTCTCATAGCTCAACTGCAAATAGTTAGTAAGCATAATAAAATTTGCTAGTTTAGAACCAATCATCGAAGACAATCCACCATTGTCTTGGATTACAATTCGTAAGTCCTCTCCCTTTCTTGGTAAGTCTCTAACAGCCTCTTCAATTTTAACTTCCACATAAGAGAACATTGGCGGAAGGGAGGTATCTTGGCAGTTGCAACGAAGGCTTTCAAGAGAAGGGCAGTAGGTTCTGAGCTCTTTCAACTTGGACCCATCTCTTCGTTATTATGCTTTTCTTATTGGCATGTTTGTCCACCGGAAGCTTTTAAAACTCATTTGCTGGTGAATAAAAAATTACCACAGAAAACTTATGAACGGTGAATGCGTCACCAGCCTCTCCTCGAGCCATAGCTACCCAAAGACTGCATGAAAGTCGAGATGGTGGTTGAATCCGCCATGCCGCGATTTTAATTGATTTGATGTATCATTATTTTTAATTTAGTCACCAAGAAATATTCTACAATATTCAAATTCTGGAAAGATTATGGAAATGAATAAATGGCTAAATTTAGTCACCAAGAAATATTCTACAATATTTTTAATTTAGTCACCAAAATATTCAACAATATCTTTTCATAAATGGCTATTTATTTTAATTAGATTACACTATAAAAACTTTGCTATATGGGAAAAAAAGATAAAATTGGACAAATGGCAACATAAAGTTTATTTGTTAAAATTTCTTATCTATTATTTTTCCAAACTTCTATATAAAACGAATTTTTGTGTATCGTTTTCAATCATTTTACAGATAAAGCAAATTTCAATACGAAAAATTTGAATAGTATAAAATTATATATTACATGTTTTGGTAATATTTCATATTTTGAACCATTCGAGGTAGAATATCTATGAGATTTTGACACATAATATTTTTAGAGCAATATTTTAATTAGATATGCTGTGTTTATTGGTCATTTTTAATCAATAAGAAAGCATTAATTACCTTCCAAATTCTATATTTATTAAATAGGATACAGTGTTTGGATTAATATTTTGATAGGCACATGGATCAGTTTTGGAGCTAGATAGCTATGAGATTGACACATAAGATTTTTACAGAAATAATACTATGAGATCATTGACACATATATAGCTTATTCATAATATATGAGATATGCATCACAAAGAGATGTTCTTAAGGAAGGATCACATATGCATAGAATAGAACACTCTTTAAGAACGGACAAAAGAAAATAAGTTTTTTAATCGGCTGATGAACCGGAAATGATGTTCTGAATCATCTGGTTTGTGTCTTCCTTCGACATTGGCTCATTTTTCAAAAGCTTCTGCTCGTACGCCTCGAAGAAGTCCTTGTTCTCTTTGACAAGCTCCTTCCACACTAGTTTTAATTCATTGATCGTGATAACATAAACAAGAAATAACACATATTTAATCTACGAGTCCGTAGAATATTTATACGAGATGATCTAGATGTGTTCATCAACAAACTATAAAATAAACATAAATAAAAGAGCTATAAGATCATCGATGGTTAAGGACTCTATCATGTAGCGTATTAACATTTATGTATACACACGTATTACACGCATATAATCTTCATACATAAGCCACTAGCTAATACATGTTGATTCTCTGGCTTTTATAGGTTTGCTAAAAAGAACATAGAGAAAATAAGAAAGAAGGGGTAAATTTTGTAACTTATTGGTGAAAATATCGAATGAAATTAAGAAAACATATGTTTCATGATAAAGGTTTATATATAACTTGTTGAAATAGGAGACATATTCTAAAATATAACGATGACCAATGCCAAAAAAAATTGGAATGCATTTTCGTGAACCTTAGCTTCATGTTTGCAACTATTTAATAAAGGAGTAAAATGCATCAAATGTATGAAAAATATGATAAGAGGTCCAAACCAGAGGACGTGATGATGGGATTGATGTTTGCATTCTTTGAGAGAGCTTCCATGCATTCCTCTTTGCTCATGTTAAAGGTCAAACATGTCTCTATCATGTGTTGCACCTATACATAACACATGACACACGATCACGTTTTTATATACTCTTAAGAATGTACATAACAGAAACTGTCCTTCATGAGAAGAAACGCATGCATGTTCGAGTTATTACCATGTGGATGTATGCAGCGGGAGAAGAGTCTCTCATTTCTATTATATATTTTGCTACCACCACAAATAAACTTGTACACTTAGATTAAGAGGCTCCACTATTGACGCACATTTATAGAAGAGCTCACGAAGAAGAACATGAATAGTGATGTAAGCATGTGGCCCAAAGTCCCACACGTAGGAGATTAATTATAATTGGGTGAGACAGGATGAGAAGAGATTGTAAGAAAAGGAAAAAAAAAACAAAAAAAAAACAAAAGATATATTTGTAAAAATTACTCTTTTCTCTTTTCTCCTTTTGTTTCCATTTCCAATATATATCACACATGACACATGTCACCAATAGTCCCTATATTTATTTCCAAAAAATAAATTTGTTTAAACAATTTTGCTATTAGTTCATAAACTTTAATTAATTTACAAATCCAAATAAATGTGTTATTAAACCATAGATTTTATAACTCTTACGGAAAGTTATTTATTCAATGATCTACAAATACTAGTTGAAATCCGATGTTATATGTTTTATGATTTATTACTAGATTTGAAAATCAACATTGAATTTTAAAAAATGTGAAAGTTAAAAATACAAGGATATGATACAAATCTAAGGTTAAAACCTATTTATTTCAAAATCCACATGTCTGATTATAAAATCTCTAAAATCTTCCGTATCCCATATTCCCATATGAATGTACGTATAAACTCATTAACAAAGAACAGTATCATATATTAGCTTCCCTAAACATGGCAAATAGAAATTGAATTGGCAATAAGCTATTAATTTTATTTTCTTGAGAATATAGAAATACAATTATATATCAAATTTTTAATTTTAATTACTATTTAAATGAATTGTTACTACTGTTTAATTGAACATAGTAATATTTGGTTTATTGGACGAACTAATGAACATTTTGGCTTATCTAATGAACCGTTGTAACTTTTGGTTTATTTGATGAACTATTACAATATTTGATATATTTGATGAACCATTGCAATTTTAGTTTATTTGATGAATTATTACAACTTTAGGTATATTTTATGAATCGTTCCAACATTGCCTTTTGTAATACATTTTTAAAGAATTAACTAAAGCTTTTCTTTTTTTGAACAAAGCATTAACTAAAGTTATATCTGTTCATTTAGAGTATTATCTTGTCACCATGTTTTATTCGTGTTTTTCATCACAAACACTTGGTTCCAATAATTGTGTCTTTTACAAATAATTTTTTCTATTTTAACTTTCATGTCTTTGTATATATATGTTTATTTAAAAAAGTGGTGTAAATTTATTATTTCTTTTTGTTTGATATTTTCCACAGAAAGTTACATTTTTGCTATTTAGCATTCATGTATATACTTTGTTATCTATATCATTTTTGGTTATTTATTAAAATTTTCCGAAGATTGTCTATTTTTAACATAATATAATTTAAAATATTGCGTCATTTTATCGTAATATCTTGATGAATATATTTATATTGTAGAAAATTGAAAAATTGCATCTACTCATTATAACTTTTTGTTTAATATTTTTGTATTTATGATTGCATCTTTTCACCATAATATTTTCCAATAATAATAAAAAGCTTAAAAAATGTTTTTGAGGTTTTACATCTCTTTATCATATTTTTTTGTAAAATATATCTTTATTTATTGTTAAAAACATTGTTTTGAAACTAGTTGTCTCAATTTATTATAACAATTCATTTGATATTTTTTTCTTTAAATTTTTTTGAAATCTTTTCCCACGATATCACGGAGTCTAAGTCCTAGTATTAATACAATAATACTACATTACTAGGGATTGACCCGCGGTACACCGCGGGACGATATTTTTACTTCAAAAATTATATACTTTTGTTTGGATTTTTTTTTAAATTTTTGTTACATATAACAAATATATGTATATAACCTATTTACATGTGTAATTAGAATGTATATATAGAATTTTATATAGTGTTTATTGTATGATAAGGATGTTGTATGTTTGACTAATTCTAATTCTACAGAAAAATGAGATGACAATTAAGTAAGCAACAATGTACCGCGTGTGTAAATTACGTATCATCTTATGGTGTTTGTTTTATATTTAAATAGTTTTAAAAGTGTGTAAGTATTTTATATATATATATGTGCAAATACTTGTGTTGGTTTGTAAATTTTGTTTATTGTTATAAATATTGAAATATGATATCTTATATTTTTTTTGTGTAAAGAATATAAAATACTTTGTGCAAAATTCTGTTTGAATTATATCTTTTAAGATTTATTGTATTTATTTGTTGTTTCATATTTCATACAAATAAGTGTATTTATATTGTTGTAGAAATGAAAAGAACAATTTTATAATATGAGAATATCTCATTTGCTCATCATAACAATATTAAAATTACTACTTGAAAATATCTCACATAATAGCAATGTAAATACGACAAACAATAATATATCTATACTACATAAAACAAACAAAAATATTATGAGCTAAATTTCATGTAATAACGTATATGTGATCAAATTCCAAACAAAAACAATTAATTTGTATATACATCAAACAAATAAAAATACACGAACCTTCTAAATATCCTATATTATTTTACAAAACGAAACAAATTTAAAAATTTGCATACTATGCAAAATACAAATTTAGTAAATAATAGAATTTTTAAGTATAAAATTATTTTTTATATTAAAAAAACATGAACCCGCGGTGTACCGCGGATCATATTCTAGTTTTCTTATAAAAACATAATCAAATACGTATCAAATTAATTAATTCATCGGTTTTTACATAGATATTACATATCTCTCTAGAAGAAATCAAATAAAAGATGAAACAAAAACCAAACCCACGCTTAATGTTGATTTCACCTTCCACTCCAAAAAATCAGCGCCTCTCCGAATCAGTCCAATAGTTTTGAAATATCATAAACACAAATCTCTCTCTCTCGGCAAATGAAACGTGTGTGAACAATCCACGGTGGTTACTTCTTAGATTAGGGTTACGATCACTTACGCCGCCGTCATGTATGTTTCTCTTGAACCTAACTAATATAACTCTCTTGAACTAAATGAAGAAGTGATTTTAAGTTTTGTGGTTACCGAAAATCCAAACGCACACCTCAAGTTTGTGAAAATTCCATATAATCATACAACCTGACACAAACAGAACAATTAAAGTTTGGTTATAAGGAAAACACTGAAAACAGTGTGCCCCTATCAAAAAAATTCATATAGACCTGCCACTCCAACATAAATTTCATTGCATGCCAAAAAACTTACAGGGAATTCAGAGGAAAGCATAATGTCGATTGTAAGACTCTGTTTAAGTTAATCTTCCTCAAGTAGCTTGTAAAAATCTGCAAAGCAAAAGAAAAAAAAAATGATTAGATTTTGTCATTGCAAGGAACAGAGATAATTAGAAGTAAAGATGTCCAATCCACAATTGAACCAATATGACATCGTAGCTTCCACGAACTGGAGTAAACTCTTACAATCATATAACAGAGTGCTTACTCCAAGATGAATTAGGGTACATACCAATGGAGTTGATAGAGATCTACAGATGAAAGCTCGAGCAGGGAAAGGGAATCTTTAAGGGCAGTGATAACACTTTCACGACCCAATCGCCATGGCAATGCAGCAAACTTTGTTGCAACTGAAATCTCAGCTCCGTAAAATCTCTCTTTTCTCTCACGGATGAACCTGTTTAAAATCTCACCAAAGACAGTCAAGAAGAACATGTATGAGGAAATGAGGATCAAAGCACACTAATATACATGTTTCCAAAATACAGTGAAAAAAGTACCTTCCTAAAAGAGTTTCAGACCTTATAACACCCCGAGAAAACTATAAAAGAAGATAATGTGAGGCTTCCAATTAGTTTCAAAACAAACCACTATACGAAGGAAGAGTAATCAGATTTGTCATTCTTACCTTGGAACCATAAACTTCAGCGGTATCGAAAAAATCAATACCATTGTCAAGACTGGTATCGAAAGCACCTTTAGCAGCCTTCAATTTCCTGTATACCATCACAGAAAAAAAAAGAGAAAGAAGAGAAAAACTTTATTCATCTCAATACTTGTTGCTGCTTGTTGATACATGAAGTACTGCAAACACAAAGTTACAAAAGTAGATAAAACCTGGTTTAAACTGCACAGTGCTCTGTTCAAAAGCTTCTTTACCGGTGATTCCATCTTTCAGATTCTTGAAATAATCATTGTAGTCTTGCTCCGGTGGAGGATTCTCAGGATCTACCGTGAAAGGCTCACTAAACGGAACTGTACTTTTAACCTGAAACAAAAAACAACATACAAAGCAGCCCAAATGAGAAATTTAACATCTTGAATATATAGAAACCCCAAAAAATCGACAATTTCTGGTTCTTTAAAAACCTCGAATGTCTTGTTTAGAGCACACGGGCTTGACTTCGAAAATATTATGCTAACAACGACGGCGATTTAAAGAAACGTATTAATATCAAAAAATTTGATCCGTCTAAGCTAAGACAAATTAAGGTTCCACAATGAAATCACTTACCTATGGAGAAAAAGTAGATTTTTGTTTGTGTTTAGAGATTGGAGAAATGAGCGAGTATTTATAGTGTTTTGATAGTTAGTAAGGTTTTAGGTGAGAGAATATTCAAAATCTTGATGAGCAAGAATTTGATATCTTTGAAAATCTTTAAATAGTAACAAAAAAAAGAATATGCTACATAGATGCTTGATCAAATAAGGATAAAATCGTTTAGTTATGTGATATTTCCAATTCGTTTAGTTGAGATTGATATCGAATTAATATAGTTCAATTTTTTTAGGAAACAAATGTTAAATACAATAAAATCTGTAGCATTAAAATAGGAAACTATTTACTTTGTAAATATATGTTTGTTATGTAAATATATACGATTTTTATATTTACTAAATCAATCATTTAATTTCGATTTATATAATGCTAATTTAGATTTGATTTCGATTTTATTGTTTTAGTAGTTTCCATTTGCTAGATATTCTTGAGATTATGTTTAATAGCATTTAAAATTAAATATTTGATTTCCATATATTAAATATATCTCGTAAACGAAAAATTAAGAATGTTTAGTTAGTTTATTTATTGATTTGTAAATTTCATTAAGACATATATTTTTTCAGATTTTATTTGTAGGGACTAAATGTACAATATTGAAATTGTAAAAAGATTTTTGAGGCCAAATCTTCACCAAAAATGTATATATAGATAAACGAATTTTTTTTGGTTGTTTCATAAAACGTAAACCTTCACTAATCTATTTATTATTTTAAAATAACATTAATAATTTTTAAACTAATTAAATTATATTAGGGAAATTGTTAAAAATGCCCCTTTTGGTGTGCCTCTTTTCAAAAATGCCCCTTTTAGATGTCCATTTTCAAAAATGCCCCTTTTTAAATCTGAAATTTTTATAAAGTTTTATTAGCTTTATAAGGTACTTATGGATTGTAACTACTACTTGAAGACTCGATCCAAGTATTTATAAGGTTTTATAAGGTGTTTTTAAAGGTTTTACAAGATATTTTAAAGGATTTTTAAGGTTTTTCAAAGGTTTTACAAGATATTTTAAAGGTTTTTAAAGGTATTTAAAATGCATTTATAAGATATTTATAAAGTATTTATAAGATTTTAGATACATAGAAATGTAGTTTGTGTATGTTTTAATAATGTTACATACATATTTGGGTAAATCTTATATTTTTAAGAGCATTTTTTATAAGGTTTTAAAGAAGGGGCATTTTTGAAAAGTGACATTGAAAAAGGGGCATTTTTGCAAAAGCCCCATTATATTTAATATTTTGACCCGGATAGCCGAGGTAGCAAATGGTCAAAGAAAGAGCAACCGGGTGTTGAGTCAACCATTTTACTTGGCGATGTTCAAGACGATGACATGTGGCTCAACAGCGAGGGACATTACTTACAACGTGAGTCAATCTTTAAATTTTCTATTCCTCACCTCACAGTAGTTGTCTATCGATATTATATATTATTGATACATGATTCACGAGTGTCATCTTTAAAATAAAAAAAATGATTCTAGCTGTCCATAATTCATGTTCTTCCAAAGAGAAATCTTTCTTTAAAGTCATATATACTTCACATTAACTCTTGTTTATGTTTCAACTCCTTCATCACTTTGAGCAACAATGGCAGCAATGATCACCGTTGACTTTCAGAACTTTTTCATCTTCATCCTCCTATGCCTGTTCTCAATCTTCTGTTACTCTATCTTCTTCAAGAAACCAAAGGACTCGCGAGGCTGTGATCTTCCTCCTAGCCCTCCTTCTCTTCCAATCATTGGTCATCTTCATCTTCTCCTCTCTACTCTAACCCACAAGTCTCTTCAAAAACTCTCCTCCAAGTATGGACCTCTCCTCCATCTACGGATCTTTAACGTCCCAATCATCCTCGTCTCTTCAGCCTCAGTTGCCTGCGAGATCTTTAAGGTCCATGACGTGAACGTCTCCTCTCGCGGTGTTCCTGCAATCGATGAGTCCCTCCTGTTTGGATCTTCTGGCATCATTACTGCTCCCTATGGAGATTACTGGAAGTTCATAAAGAAGCTAATCGCCACTACGCTGCTCCGACCACAGTTACTCGAGAGGTCACGAGGCATCCGTAATGAAGAGCTAATGCGATTTTACAAGAGGCTTCTCCATAAGGCGAGGATGACCGAGAGCGTTGAGATCAGTGAGGAAGCAACGAAGCTTGTGAACAACGCCTTGTGCAGGATGAGCTTAGGAAGGTGTTTTACAGAGGAAAACGGTGAGACAGAGAAATTCAGAGCCTTGGTGGATGAATCCTATGCCTTGACCAGGAAGATGTTTCTGGCAGGTTTATTGCATAAGCCGCTCAAGAAGTTTCGGATCTCACTATTCGAGAAGGAGATAATGGGTGTTTCTGACAGATTTGATGAGCTGCTAGAGAGAATTCTTGTGGAACACAAAGAGAAACTATACGAGGAGCATCAAGGTACGGATATGATGGATGTGTTGTTGGCAGCTTATGGAGACGAAAACGCAGAGTATAAGATCACTAGGAATCACATCAAGTCATTTTTCGTGGTATATGTCCCTCGTTTTGTCGAGTTTCTTTGAGGATTAATTCGAAACTTACTTATCAATGTTTTCTGTCTTCTCACTGAAGGAGCTTTTAGTTGGAGGCACTGATACCTCGGTGAAAACAACACAATGGACAATGGCGGAGATCATTAGCAACCCTATCGTTCTTGAGAGAGTAAGAGAAGAAATTGATTCCGTTGTAGGGAAAACAAGGTTGATTCAAGAAACGGATCTACCAAACCTCCCTTACTTGCAAGCCGTAGTCAAAGAAGCGCTAAGATTGCATCCGCCGGGACCTCTCTTGATAAGAACGTTCCAAGAAAGATGTGAGATCAAAGGGTTTTACATACCGGAGAAGACTACACTCGTTATTAATGCTTATGCTGTGATGAGAGATCCTAATTCTTGGGAAGATCCTGACGAGTTTAAGCCAGAAAGGTTCCTAAGTTCTTCAACTGGGAAAGATGACGAGAAAAAGCAAGCGTTTAAGTACCTCCCTTTTGGCGGCGGTAGGAGAGGATGTCCTGGAGGTAATCTAGCTTCTATATTTGTAGGAACCGCAATTGGAGTGATGGTGCAGTGCTTTGACTGGAAAATCAAAGGAGATAAGGTCAACATGAAAGAAACTTTTGAAGGAATGAACCTAAGCATGGTTTATCCGCTTAAGTGCACACCAGTTACTCGAAGCCAACCCTTCTTGATGCGCAAGCAGGAAGAGAACAAGTGAAAGTTCAGAAACCGATTACGAATTCCGAACCGAAAGTATATATGCGACATAAACAAAGCACAGCCGGTTAAGAATTCGAATTTCTATATTCAGTTACTTATCAATTCCAGTATTGTCAATAAGGGGACTTAGTCATCCGAGAATGTAAGATACTAGTTTCCACTTTCCCTGGGGATCAGATGATCTCAAGCTGTTGTAATTTGCTTCTATTTAAGTAATGAAAATAAAGGCTCCGATATTGGTAACATTGCCTAATCGCATTAGAAAACGTCATTCCGGCATTATGCGGTTTCTAATTGGAGCCAAAACAAAAAGAGGTAGTTCAAACTACCCAAAAACATATCGATCTTGCTGTATATCGTTCTTTGAGCGATACTCTAGGCTTTGAGGAGGGACCGCAACATTTTTCTTAATCTTACTTCTAATCTTCATATACCAAGTTCTTGATACCCATCTCAGGAACATGTAATAAGTTTGCTTTCTTCTGTTCTACACATTTTCTTCAAAGACGTTCAATTAAATTTTATGTCTATATGTTTGTCATCTTTGAAAGTGTAAAGTTCGTATGCAAGAAATCTGAAGCATTATATCTAAGCTTATCTAAATATTTTTCTTTTTTATTTGACACAAAATCTTAGTATTTTCGAGAAACTTTGTATATCACTGTTTCACCTTTGTTTCTTCACCCATTACATCAATACCAGAAAACAAATCTTCTTAAAATCGAATTTATTGGCAATCGAATAAAAAGAATGCAGAATTCGAGAGAAGAGGGGTCAAAAGAGTGGAGGAGAATAATATAAAGGATAAGGAGAAGAAGAGAAACGAAGGTTATGATAATAGGGGAATTCTCAAATTTGTGGGATTGGAGGGAAATCCAAAAATATTCGGGTGAATTTCGAATTTTCTGTTCAATTCTATTCTTCACGTGCGCCGTTTTTTGCCTCTTGTACGCCATTTTTGTCCCCATGTGCGCTGCCAGATTACACTTAGTTATACACAAGATAGTATTTATACCCAAGTTCCACATAGTTCTACTTTTGTTGTAATCCAGTAAGATTAGTATTACATACCCCTAAAATTTATATCTCAAGTTGTACAATTGATTTAAGTCGCTAACAATGTAATTCAGAATGTTTTACGCATTCATATGTTTAAAACGTAGATTGTTGTAACTTTTTCATCCTAATTTGGTTATTATTTACAATGTGAGTTTAAAGGTATAGGAATGTATTGTGTAGATTCTTTCAAAACAATCCAAAATATATATTGTTTGTAATTTCCTTTGTAATATTAAAAATGAATTTACTTTAATACTTTGTAAAATTAAAAACAATGAATGTACTTGGATTTGCCTGATTTTATATTGTTCTCACATTATGGTTGTTTCAATTTTAATGAAGCTGAGGAGGATTATCACAAGGATGGAAAAGAGGAGATAGATAGAATGAAATAGAACAAGAAGAAAAAACAGAAGAACAAACATTGTGGGACTCAAATAGAAAATAGAATAAATTCGTTTGAATTGAAACGTTTTTGAATATATAAGTTTACGAGGATTATCGTTGTCTTTTGTTTATGTACAGTATGTTCATTGGTGTCTTAATTTGTTGTGGACTCATTCAAACTTTGGTGGTCTTTTGTCTTTTTGTAGTGGATTCTACCTCATAATTTGATTATATTTGGCCCAAATTGATGGGTTTATATTGGGCTTTCTTACGTTGTGAATATTAAATAGAGATTGCGAAGGGTATGCTACTGCTATACCAAACTTGTGATTCTCAGCGTCTATATAAACTCTGCTAGAACTCTGCGAAAACATAAGGGTAGTTCACCAAACTCGCGAACCTTAGCGTCTATATGAACTCTGCTAGAACGCTGAGGAAACATAGGGGTAATTAAAGGTTGTTTTGGTATTTTGAAAATATTGTTCCATTCCTACAATTTTCCTTTTTCGGATACCAGTATTTTAATTAATAATGAAAAACGTTCCATTCAAGCGAATTTCTTATATAATTGATCTAATTTCTGTTTTACGCCAGATTTCAATCTTACATATTCTATTTTGTAATCAAATTCAGTTATCTACTTCATGGTTTCATGCTAATAAACTGAATTTTAATTCTACACACTCTATACATCTTAATGGATAAAAGCTAAAAAAAAAATAATGCTACACACTCCATCTGATTGATGATATTTGAATTAGAAATAGTAAAACACACATTTTTCTATATATTATATAGTATAGTAATTTTTTGTTTTAAAAAAAAAATTTAATCTTACACATTCAAGTTTACGATATAATTTAACTATATTTTTCATAATAATATACTAAATTTCAATTTTACACACTCCATCTTAATGGTTATGAGCAAAAACAATTATATCGAAAATAATGTGTATCATCTCAAATATGTATACAATAAACATCATTGACAAAAAAAAAATATACAAAAATATATTAAAAACCAATTTTGTTTTAGATCTAATTTTTTTACATGCCATAATCTCATAAGTAATAATTTTAAATGAGTTAAAATAATAAATAGATAAAACTTCTAAAATTTTCGTTAAGTTATCGAAAAATCATTCCTATAATCTTATTTGTTTCCAAGTTTTTCTTGTTTTTACTTATAGCTACATGCATTAATATTCTTAGAATAACATACTATTCTATATTCTCATTAAGTAATAAAAAAATTCATTCTCATAATCTAATTACTTTTTTATATGCGTGTTAAGCGGATTTGATTATAAAATTGATATGCGTGTGTTCATTGGATTGGGGTCATGTTCAAGGAAAACAAAATAAACAAAGGCCATGTTCTATCGGTAAAAGACAGACTTATTTTCTCATACGACCGACATTAAATCCGAATCATTTAACACATATCTTGTGTTCTGTAAGTTACAAACGTTTAAACAAGATACTTGGATGACTGGGAGATGTTGATAGGAACTCCCTTAGGGAAAAAAGGGAGCGGTGTGCGCAAGAACTCGAATTCTTGGGCTAATGAGAAATCGTATTTAGTTACAAGGTAATGAATGAAGATTGAAATCTGAAGCCTCGCAGACTCCGCGCCTGCACACTGTCTCACTCCCCCTCCAAACACCATGAATGTCTTAGATCCAGACCGCAACTCTTTCCCCTGTCCATGTTCATTAATATGAGTGACACCGATAATATTTTATTAGAGTAAGTTAAAGTTTATACCTCCCATCTCCATGGATTGAACTCGAAAGGGTTCTCATATATTGCAGGATCATAATGAACAGCAGAAGGTACAACCGCTGCAATCCAACCCGCTGGAATTGTGTATCCTGTTGTTACCAAATATTCCGCATAAATATCAACTTTTAAACATATTATAGAGTTTGGACTCTAATTGGTGCCAGGCTAGAATGATACTTGCCTTTGATTTCTACATCGGTCACAGCTTTTCTAAACATTATAGGAGCCACGTTTGTCATTCGAAGAGTTTCATTGATCACCTGCATGAGTCAATATATTTAACATCCAAGCTGATCCTTAAATGTAATATATTAAAAAAAAAAATTATTTACCATGTTGGTGAAAGTCATGCTGTGTCTATATTCTTCCCAGCTAATTCCAGCTTCCTTATCTTCTCTGTTTTTAAGGATGGCTTCATGCTCTCTCTGCAAAATTAAAATGAACATATCACTATATCAACCTGGTCCATATACATTTTCTCCACATGAAAAAAGAAAATTTTCATCCTTCTAAATCGATTTATATTACCTTCAACTCTGCAAGAGCTTTAGGGTTTTCGGCAATGAATTTGATGGCCAAGGAAGTAACAACAGAGGTAGAATCTTTAGCGACAATCATAAGACCGAAGAGGAGGTTAATAGCAGTTGCTTCATTAAAAACGGCGTCTTCTTTCTCCAGCTCTTCTACGATTGTGTCGAGGAAGTCTCCGAACTTCTCTCTGGACGCTTTCCTCCTCGTGAAAACGTCTTTTATCAGCTGCACTGCAACTTTGCGTGCCTGGATGCAATCAATGGAGAGAACTTTTTCATTTGTCGTATATACATCCATGAAATCTCAAAGAAACTAGCTAGATAACTAACCTTAAAGGCTTTGTAGAGAGAAAGCCAGGTTTTAAGAGTAAACAATGACCGAAACCAATCATTTTTGAAGGCCTTGAGATTTTCCATTAGATTTCTTTGGGTTTCAGGTTCGAGGTTACATATTATCTTCGGGGTCAAGTGCGCCATTATCAACTACAGAAAAACGTATATGGATGTGAGTAGGTACTGAGAAGCAACGGCATAATCGTTCAATAGAAAATATAAAATTTATGTTCAAGAAAAAAGATTATACGTTTTCAACTGTGTCCATAACATCGAAGCTTCCCTTGGTAGCCTTCGATTTAAGGTGCTCACAGGTCACTCTGTCTATGTCTCTTATCATCTTTCTCTTCAAAGACTCAGAGCCAAGAAGTTGCAGAGTGACTTGTTTGACGTGCTTGTGGATGTTCCCACGTTCGTAGAACACGCTGTCTTTTCCAAATGGCTTGACAAAACCTTCCGGATAGCTAAATATGAAAGACTCGTTCTCTTGCCGGAAAACCTCATATATCACATCCGGTTCTGTCAAAACCACGGTGTTGGATCCCATAATGTTGGTCCGAAACAATGGTCCGTACCTGAAACATTCACGGAATTATATTACATGGTATCGAAGGAATATAAAGAAAGAGATTGAATTCTGACCTTAATATCCTCTTCTTGACAAAGGGTGAGATCTCATAGAATCCATGGACCTCAAAGAAGTCGAAAGTCTCTCCGATGATCGGAAAACCCATTGATCCCGGTGGTAACTTTCCATTGCAGTTGGGGTTTGACCATCGGTATAACCACTTGCTAATCATTATAACCACTAAAGCTATAACCCACAACGAAGCGGACCAGATGAAGCTCATTCTGCTATGTCTTAGAAGTTTGAAGAGCTTCCACTTTGGATCTTTCGTGAGCCTTAAATGGAGGAGAGAGAATCCTCAAATCAAGAGAATAATGTTTGTTTTATATGTTTTTTATTTTATTTTATTTTTTTGACAAAAAAAAACATATGAAAATTCTAAACTCTCTATAGAATTTTGTAGGATTGTGCATTCAATTTTTTTAGTTTGACTTGGTTCGGTTTTTTTTTTTTTTTTTTTGTTTTGGTTCTACAAAATGGTCTAAAGTGTAACATAAATTTTATTTCCATTCAGGCTTGGTTCGATTTTGGAAATTTTACCTTTAATATATTATATACTTTAGTAAATTGAATATATAATAGTAACTCTCAATGAAAAAGTTTATTTGGTTTGATTATTGGCTATTTGGGGGTGTTATTCAATGGTGGAGTTAAAGTCAATTCTTTAAGGTTTAGATTTGTTTTCTGATATTGGTTTTAAGAATCTGTTTGTGTGGATTTCAAAATCTCTGCAGTATATCTTGGATTTTGATTCTAATAATTTACTCATGAAACTCCAAAGAGGTTTCATTTCAAATGACTTAATATACAAAGATTTTACAAGTCTTTTAGTTTTGAATAACACTGGATTTTACAAACCTTAAAGAATTGACTTTAACTCCACCATTGAATAACACCAAACTTTTAAAATCTAATGAAGTATAAGATCTAATAACACTAGATTTTAACGTTAGATTTATAATCATTAGTTGAATAACACTGGATTAGTGTTGGATTTCAATTCTATTAAAATCCATCATTGAATAACACCACCTAAGTTTGGCGTTAATGAATCTCAACTTGTCATGTCTTATGCGCACTTTTAAAATTTTAGGTTAAAGAAATACTGCGCGTTTTAGTTTTAGTTAGATTTAAAATTGAAGAAATTATACATAGGTGAGTCATCTATGTGGAGTTGCAAAATAAGATGACAAAAAACGACGAAATAGTGTGATTTTAAAAACTCTTCTCTCTGTTTTTTTTTCCTTTTTATCTAGTTTTATACAAGGGTCTTCTGAATTGAAATTGACAGTAAAAATTCTATAAATTAATAATGTTAGGACAATGATATTTTATTAATTTATAGTAATATTAATTTATCTATAAATTTATATATTAATTTATCTATATTAATCTATAAATTTATATTTATTAAATTATAGTGTAAATTAATATTTATTAATTTATAAAAAGTTTTGTTATAAATTTTTTAATTTTTTTAAAAATATGACTTAAAAAAATTTGATTTTAATAAAAATAATACTTTGGATGTTATAAATTTATAGTTTTAGACTTGAACATTTAATATTTAGAAGAAAGAACATCCTTTTGACTATAAGTAACAAAGATTATAGATAAATTCACATATACAAACGATAAATATATATATATATTCGGTTAATTCGAGAGTGATTTAGTACCACTCGGTTAATTCGACTTGAACCAAAAATAAACTAAGTTTTTGGGCTTTTTCGAAAGAAATCGATCTAACTAAAAAAATAGAATGATTAATTCAAATATATTCTAAAAATAACGAAGAGAAAAGAAATGACGATATTTGCTCGAATAATATAGAAGGAAAGCATTAAACAAAAGGAAAATTAACAAACATCTAAAAACCGAAAAGCAAAACGAAACAAATCACAATAATTTCCAAAGCTGAATAATTTGGCTACACGTAATTGCTGCTTTCATCTAGTTAAAACTAAAATTTGACTAGATTAAGGCAATTTTAAAAATGATATATTTGGTTGGAAAAATGCCAAATTATAACCAAGTTTTGTTGGGTTGGTGATTCTAGTCAGAAATCGACTCCTTTAGAGCATGTGCAGTGGAAAGAACTCATATTAGTCTCTCAAATATATTATTTTAATAATTTTTACATAAAAAAAGTTTTCTTTTTAAATTTAAAATTTAAACTATAAATAAAACTTATAACCAATTATGGTGAGACATGTGTTAAAGGAGTCTCTCACAAGGTTCTCAAAGTCTATCACTTGAAAGACTCACTTTATTCCCTTTCTTATTTTTATTATTATTTTATAATTTTTTGTGGGTGAGAGACTTATTGAGAGACTCCCACTAAACATGCTCTTTAGGCGTTTCAACAAGACTCTTTTATCTTGCAATTTGGCTATCTGTAAACGTTTTCAATAATAAAAAAATTCAGATTTTTGTGAGTGCTAAGAATTAGTGTAAATTTGTATATGAAATTCTCCAATTTCCTAAAAGTAGAAAAAAAAAAGTAAAAAAGAAGTTAACTACACATTAAATAATAACTGACTGCATGATTAATATCACAATATGGAGGAAACAAATTTACAAATGAAACTTCAGAAAATAACAATATAGGAGTTCGAGATAAACAATATGTCTTAGAATTACAAAAACATGAAATAATAGAAATCGAAGAAGAGAAAGGAAGACATTGAACAATCCAAACTCATCTAGTAGATTGGAGAAAGCGGGCCATTATTTAAGAGATAGCACTAACAAAACTAGCATTGTACCATCTGTTTCAAACGCTTGACAATCAATCCTTCTTGAAGGTATATTTTTTATAGCCTATAGTAAACCTTTCATCTCCGACTGAAGGGGTGAGGGGCAGCTCTGGTGACACTTTACGCCAAGTAGTACTGTTTGATCGACTCCTTGAAAACACCACCATCCTAGACTTGTGATAGGATCCAAGATTTCCACGAGCCGTCAATCCGATATCTAAGATAGATTGTGAAGGATTATCCAATGGTTCCTTATTAACAATTGGTTTTAATTGAGTTTTTTTCCCACAACAATTGTTCACTTAAAGTGTGATTATAATACCTATGGGTTCGGATTGTAATTCTTTGACACCACGATGAACTAAGATTGAGGTAACCGCTTGGGATCCCGACGCAAATTGCAAAAGAAAGTGTTTGATTTTTGGTGGAGCTCTAGTTTTCCACCCTTGTGTTAAAATGCGTTTGGTTTTTTAGTTTTTGAATAAAAAGTAAAGATAGTAGAACTAAAAGTATTTGGTAACAAGGGTAATAGAATTAAAATTAAAATAAAATGGTTGAAAAAATTGTGGACCTTCAATATAAGCACTAAAACCCGTCTCTTAATATATATAGAATGTTTGTTGGAAGTCCCTTTGATCCAATGGTTGGCCAAGGGTTTATTAATACTTCAACACCATGTTTGGGATTCGATTACCTGACAACACAATTTCTTACAAGTTAATGGTGCAAAACTTCTCGGAGGTCTAGAGTTCTGTATGCAAAGCTGGTCATAGTTGTCTCGTGTGTTGCAGGGAGAACATGTCTATCATAGGGATGTCGTACATGCATAATCGCCCGTTGGAGATCCGAATGTTACAGAGAGAGCTGCACCGTGGAATCATATGTTTATCATAATTGCATATGTTGTAGGTAATCCTATTAAGATATTTGATCTAATCATACTATGATGATATTCAATTATGATGCAATTATGATGAACAACTCCTACGAAAAATGATTCCACGGTGCAGCTCTTTTGGGGAGAGCATGGTCGCAAGGCTGAAACTTAAAGGAATGGACGGAAATGCACCACCAATAGTGGAGCCTGCGGCTTTAATTTGACTCAACACAGGAAAACTTACAAGGTCCAGATATAGTAAGGATTGACAGAATGAGAGTTCTATCTTGATTCTATGGGTGGGTGGTACATAGCCGTTCATAGTTAGTGGCGTGATTTGTCTGGTTAATTATGTTCTCTCCGCAATACACAAGACTACTACAAACGATTCCCCATACGAAACAATACTATTAATCTGGAAAAAACTGCGTATTTTGGTAATCGAACTCTAAACCTTGTGTAAAAGTATTAAAAATTCCTGATCAATTACTGGACTAAACGTACTTTCACATGTTATTTGATTAGGTGAATCGTACCTATTTGATTACGTAAGGTTTTTTGCATCAAATTAGTTGATACATCTCTATATGATTACTTAGAAAAAAAATTGTGATATGGATTTTGATAATCTAATCAATTATTTACATCAGGACGACACAATAATCGTCAACTGTCACATTATTATTGCTATTATTGTAGTCTACAGTATCATATTAAATTATTTTCTCTGATAATAAATAATTATTATTTCTATTTTATAGTATAGCATGAAAATCGTGGATCAATAACCATATGTAAGACTTTTCCAAGTGACGGGTGATTGTTCGGTAAAATAATAATATAAATATATCATTTTATTTTGGGGCAAAAATATACATAAATCATATAGAATGAAAATATTAAAAATATTTGATTATTCGAATAATTATTTGATACACTTAACCAAAAAGATAGTATATGCAAGTCAATCCACAAGATTTAATGGTACACTAAAAATTTTCGAGACTCGTTTTTAACTAAAGTTGAAAAGATTGTTTGTTTGGTTTTCAGAATTGTAAATAAAAAGGCAATTAAATTAGCCTCTATCTGCTAAAACAATTTCAGGATGGGTGACCTTCCGGTAAGTGATTATCGGAACCATGTGAGTGAGGACAAAACTCGAAGAAAGTTCATGTGGCAATTTGTAGAGTCGGTATACAAGTCTTTAAAGCCTCTCGGACGTAACTGACCGACCGTCGGACAGGGATGGGCCCACGGGTCCGAGAGAGGACGTGGTGCTCATTGGTAGGGGCGGTCGGGGCGATACAACTACAAATAGAACTAAACCCAAATAAGACCATGGCCAACTAGGCTGTGTGTAGGGTCCGGATAATATGATTTTCTATTTTTTGAATTTTCCAACCAAAACCATAAAATAATATTTTTTCGTTAAAACCACAACACATTTTCATCCAAAATCGAAGAATTGCGTTTTTCGCCAAATCGCAAAATCACATTTTCTCGCAAAAAATATAAATATATTCTGGTGGGAAACGGGAAATGGGAAATCTTATTTTTTGTGCGAAACATGTAATAATATTTTTGGCGGAAAAAAAAATTATGTTTTGACGGGAAAACAAAGAGTTACGTTTTGGAGTGAAAATGTCTCTGAGAGTATAAAAAATGCAAGGGATAAGTTATTAGAATATACCCTGATTTTTAAGAAAATGAGGAAAATGTCCCTCAACTTAGCAACTCTAAATTTTAACGCTTATTGGACTGTTTATGTCCATATAAATTTGTTCCATTTATTTGTGTGTTAAATTGATTTTTAACTCATATTAATTATTTAATTTTGGATGTGATCGTAACGGACCATTATAATTTTGAATGGTTTAACCCATAATACACAATATGTTTATTAAATTAGGTATCAAATATGTTATCTAACCAACAATTGTTAACATAAAATATATAAAAATTAAATAGATTTTAATATAAATATTAGTTATATATAATATTGTATATGTTATTTTATTTATTTTAAATTCACGCACCGCGTGAACATGTGGTATATTATATTATTAAGAAATATTATATTATACCACAAGTTATGGCCCATAACCAGCTGTATTTTATAGGATCTCTGACTATTGTCTTCTAGGTCATCCAACGAAATAAATAAAAAAATTGAGTGGTTTACATACAGTTTAAATATGATCATGTAGAATAATTATGTGGTAATTTGTAGGATTGGTATACAAAATTTTAAAAATTTTCCGAACGTAACGAACCGATCGTCGAATAGGGATATGGTCCACGAGCACGAGAGAGAACTTGGATGCTCATTGGTTGGAGCGCTCGGTAAGTTACCAGTCCAAATATAACCAAACCCAAATAAGATCATGATCAACTAGACTGTCTGAGTGGTCTAGATAATATGATTTTCTATATCTTGCCAAACCCGCAAAATCTAATTATTTAATAAAAAGCATAAAATAATATTTTCTTGCTAAAACCGAAACACATTTTCTGCCAAATCGAAGAATTACATTTTTCCGCCGAATCGCAAATTCATATTTTCCCATTAAATATATTTTTGGTGGAAAACGGGAAATGGAAAATCATATTTTTTGCGGGAAATAGGTAATAATATTTTTGGCGGGAAAAAACAAAATCATGGTTTGACGGGAAAACAAAAAATTACGGTTTGAAGTGAAAATATCACTGAAAGAATAAGAAAATGCGAGGAATAAGTAATTAGAATAAACTCTGAATTTTAAGAAAATGAGGAATTTTTTTTTCTTAACTTAATAATCCTAAATTTTAAGACTTATTCGATGGTGCATGTCAAGACGAGTTTGTCCCATTTGTTTGCGGGTTAAATTAATTTTCTAATCCATATTAACCGTTTGATTTTGGACGTGACCATAAAAAACCATTATAATTTGGAATAGTGTAGCCCATAATCATCAGGCTCCTAACAAACATGCAATATGTTTATTAAATTATATAACAAATATTTTATCTAACCAATAATTGTTAACATAAAATATATAAAGGTAAATATATTTTAATATAAATATTAGTTATATATAATATTGTATATGTTATTTTATTTATTTTAAATTCACGCAACCCGTGAAACATTACATGGTATATTATATTGTTAAGAAATATTGAATTAACAATGTTGCGTGAAACATCACCTGGTATACTATATTTTTAAGAAATATTAAATTAACAATATAACCCACCTCATCGATATACCACAATTTTTGGCTCATAATCCTACACCCGAGTTAACAGTCGTTAACTCTACTAACGGAATGAGTAATTGCGGTGTAGGATTATACCAAATTTTAAAACACGACGATTTTAAAAGGCAATCGAAAATAAACCAGGCATTTTTATTCCAACTTTAATAACACACGTATTAAACGGCCAAAAAAAAAATAGATGGCGGTTTTTTCGGGTTTTTTCCCTATTTTTATTACATTGGTTTGCACTTGTGTTTGTATTTATGATATTTATGGACGAAGCGGTCTATAGCCAATTTGGGATCCATTTATGAAAAGCGATGTCCTAAATAATTCATGGCCTAACCGAACGATCATCTGGTTTTGGAGGGAAAGACGCAGTCACTGGAGCGGACACAAGAAGACACAAGATGTGGCATGTACTATATGCTTTTTATTTTCTTAAACAACTAATGTAAAATTTATTTAAATGCTTCTAATTTAATTTTTAATAATAATAGCACCCCATACAAAATATATGTCTGGATCCGCCCCTACAGACATGCGAATACTATCACAAGATCTAAGTTTCTACAAATACATTTTCGAGCATCATAAGTTGTGATATCTTCTGCCATCAAAATTAAAACATTTACAAAAGTCTTTGCTTTACAAATGTTTTATGAATAGTTGAATTTCAATTCATCATCGAACAACATTTTAGTCTTGGTCTTCTCTATCTTAACTCAAGATATGTGCTCGCATTTGTCTTAGTCTTGCTGATGCGTCTATTTTATCTCTCTTACAATTTCCCAAATTTCTTGGAGCAAAACAAACATCTGAATTACTTGCAGAGCAGTGCTTCTAGTGTTGTCAAAATGGCATTTGCCATAGGCCACTTGAAATATTAACATTTCAAAAGGCCACATTTATATATTAATTTATTGTCTTAGGTTATTTGTTTCTTTACTTTTTAATCATTGTAATTAGATTATAAGTTCAAATCTTTGGTAAAATCATACTTTGAAATTATTATTTCAAAAATACATGAATATATATTATTAATCCTCTTCTGACGTATGTAATGTCGTGCTTTCTTTACCGAAAAACATTCGCTCCAAACTGAGCAGTGAGATCTCTAACTTTTGGTGGAGCCACAATCAACAGAGCAGGGGTCTTCATTGGGTTGCGACAATCTTTGTTCCCCACTTTCTGAAGGAAGCTTGGGTTTTAGAATGTTAAAAGTATTTAATCTAGCTCTCCTCGCCAAACAACTGTGTAGATTAGTGAGATATCCAAACTCCTTTCTTGCACGGGTATTAAGAGGCAGGTACTTCCGATACTCGAGCCGTCTTCTAGTTAAGCCCTCATATTTGCCCTCCTATGTATAGCATATATATGCTTGCAGCTAGAACTCTCATTCTCTCTGGATTGAGGAAATATATTGGATTAGGTTTCGACACCAAAGTTTGGAGTGAACCATGGATTCCAACAATTCCAGCGCGCCTAGGGATAAGTAAATTGGTAACAACGGACCCTAATCTTTATGTTAATGAGCTGATAGACCCGATTTCTAAGGCTTGGAATAGGCTTCAAGAATTAATAGCACCAGAAGACATACCCCTCATCTTGGGGCTACATCCGAGTCTGTCATTCTCCAGAAACTCTTACATTTGGGTGCATCCAAAATCTGGCAATTACTCTGTCAAATCTGGCTACTAGGCAGCAAAAGCTTGCCATCGAGGAGATTGCGACCTCTCTTTTCAGGGACCTAGTGTCGAGGCACTTCAAGTACAATCATGAAAATTAACCCCCTAGAAAAATTAAGCACTTTCTCTAGCAAACTGCCACGGGATGTCTGGCTACCTGCCAACGACTAGTTGACATTTAGGGACCGACAAGGTGTGCCCTTGGTGTAGGATGTGTGACGAGACTATTAACTACATGTTATTTGAATGCCCTCCGACCTTCCAGGTTCGGTCTCTATCCCGGATCCCTTTGATTCAAGATGTTTTCTCTGCTCCCTCGATTTTTGCGAATTTAGATCACCTCTACTGGAGGGCGAAGGAGCTCGGCGGGAGAGAGGACGCAATCAGAAATTTTCTTTTGATCATGTGGATTATCTGAAAGGCGCACAATTCTAAAGTCTTTGGGAATACAGATATGTTCCAGTTCGTTTGCAAGGAAGCGGAGTCCTTCCGTGTGGCAAGAGCCCGAGATGGGATTATTGATTCACAACCGCCCATGACTTACAGAGGGATATTTGCTTATAAAAAACAAATATTTAAGTGTATATTATATCATGAAAGTAATATCTCAAGGAAAAAATCATAATCTCTAAATTAACACAACTAATAACACAGCTGATGACATGTTAATGAAACCCTTACCAAGAAACAAATTGGAAGGACGGATGTTTGAGTTTCTAGATATATATCTCTATGTAAGTGTCGTAGCGTCAGGATAGAACCACGACAAAAATAGCGATTTCGCTCTTCCAATTTCATTCAACTTTTCTAACCATGCATGTCTACCACCCAAAACTTAAAACATATTGATAACTTATCCTAAATACAGCCTTTATTTCATTAAGCTAATATCTTATGGGAAACTGAACCTGTTGTTTCATATCTTATCAAACAAAAATCGTCTTAAACAAAGGTTTAGCAGAGGGTGGTAAAAATGTATAAAGACACCCAGAACATTTTATTAAATAAATTAATGATCATACATTTAAAAAGCCCTATTCATAATCATGAACATTTGGAATGATTAAATTCATTTTAAATTCCAATATTCATAGAAATGGCATCAACCCAATCAAGGATTTTTTTTTTCTTTTGTTGAAAAATCTTAAATTGTATTCACAAAAAAAAAAAATTTACATCAGCTGTTTTTAAGTTTTTTGAGTAAATAGAGAAAACTTAATTTGAAAATAGAAGGATAATAGTCGTGGGAAGCAAACCAGACTTGTAAGCCTTTTTCATATCTCCGGTCACCCAATCAAGCATTGCAAAAAGAGAAATTTCAATAGGAGTTATCCAAAAAGGTTTTGCATTTTTTTATACAAGGAAAAAAGATTCTGCACAGTTTGATAGACTCTTTGATATTCCTTCATTTAAACATGTAATTTATTGAATATAATATGTAAGAGCACCTCCATTGATGGTTTTTTTAACATGATGTGCGGTATTTATTAAAAACAACAAATAACAACATAAACGTATATATAAAATGGTGACGAAGATAAGATTGAAATAAGAAGTGGTCAAAGGAAGAGCCGTCGCAGAGCCTGCGTGTAATGTGTAAGTGCCCAAAGAGAGTAAATGTTTCTAAAGGTTGGATAATGGAGCAAAACATTCATCTTGAAAACTCCCGTTACTTCCTGCAAATTTAATAAAGCAAAATAAACAAAATAAGTGTTGATTAATCTAATCACATTATATAATAGATTGAATGAAAAGGAGACATGGAATTATACTCCCTCCGTTTCAAAATGTAAGACGTTTTTAGGTATTATTTTTGTTTAAAAATGTAACACGTTTTCAAGTTTCTATGTAAATTATATATTCATTTAATATTTTCTTACTATTTATATTATGCAGTCTCATTTATGATTGGTTGAACTTTTTAAAATTGGATATTTTTTAATCTGCGTGCTTTTAACTAAAACGTAGGGAATATTAACCTGTTGCGGAAAATCGCCATTATCCAACTGTGAATTAATCAACACTTTAGCTGCACGATGAACTGGCAAAGGATCTCTCTCCATCTGATCACCCATAATTAGAACTATAAGTGCTTGTCCTGTATTCACCACATTTGTTTGGTTTCCCACTAAAGGAATGTATTTCTTGCTTGGGCAAGAGAGATAGCTCTCTCCCCAGCCACCTTCCGGGTTTTGGGTGTCAAGAATGAAACCAACTGCTCTACGAATTGCCTCACAGTTATCGTAACGCTTCCCTGCAGCTACAAGACCTCTTACCGCAAAGAAGGTCCCATATATGAAACACACTCCCCAGTTTCCGTACCATGAACCATCCACTCTTTGCAAGTCCTCAATGTACTTCACGCCTTTTGTTATAAACCGTTCAACCTCTTCCTTTCTGTACTCCGGAAACTGTTTCTTAAACTGAGCCAACGCTACAATAGCTGAACCCGTACATTCTACATACCTAAAGATGGAAATGATATCAAACAATTTGAACAACCTTTCTTTGATTCAAACAAATAATATATAGTTCGATGAAAAGATCGTACTCATGCTCGACGACGGCGTCTTCAATAAATTCCACTGGACTTAGCCACTACATTAATTTGGATTCGTTTTAAATGTTACATACAATTAAAAAATATATATATATATATATTCCCGAAAAATAACTAAATAAAATTATTTACCTCTAACCAGGTTTTTCCATCTGCTGGTTGCCATGCTGATATACCGCCATTATCGCTCTATATAATAATTTTAAAATTATTAATTCATAAACGTTCTATCAAAAATTTTAGTGAAACAAATGTAATTAGTTTAAGATTTACCAAATATGCATTAGTTAAATAGATACTACAAATATGCATTTAAGTTTTAAATTACTAATATTTAAGTAAACAGTTTCAACTTGATTAGTTGACTGTATATAATATTATGACATGTGCTATAGTGTCGGTTGTTTGTCGCCATCCGAAATCAAAGTTGTTTAATTTGTATTATTGACCTAATAAATTTTCAAATGAGATGCTCTAATATAAGTATTTATTCCTTATCGTTGTTTTCAACCTTCTGCTCAAACCTAAAATATTATATCATTTAAAGAATCATTGATAAAAAAAAAGGATATTATTAGTTGCTTAATTTACATAATTACCTGCAAATTAAGAAGAAAATCAACGGCATCATAGAGTTTCTGCACATCCATTTTTTGGCCAATAAACTCTGACGTCATGCTCTCGAAAAATAGACAACACTGGGGCATTCAAACAAAATATTTGTTTAGACTTCAGATTAATAACTAAGAAACTTTTTTTGGTACTAAGAAACTTGATTAGTAGACAAAAGCTGATGTGTTACTTTTTACCTCTAAACTCTCAGCAGTACAATCTGAAACTGACCATCCCTGATCTTGATCGGAAAACGTCCATCCACCTTTTGAAATGTGACGAAACATTTTTATGTGTTCACCGGGAGGGTTTTCTGTAACTTGAGATTTCTTCAAGTAATCATATCCTTTAAGGATCGTTGATTTAATCTCACCATTAACATCATCATCAATACCGTCTAACACTACATGTAGCGATAAGGCTGTATCCCACAATTGGCTACCAAAAGACTACAAGAGTTGTACATTTGTTAATGCATCTATTGGATGGTCATACTATGAGTTAATGCATTATATGAGTTTTAGAGTATAAAATTCAAGGTCATAAGCAACCTGAATTTTCAAGCCATCCTCGCCAATCCATATGAAATCAGGGACTCGAGCAAGATGCTTTTTGAAGTAGTCACCTTCTGGATCTTCTACCCAACATGCCAGCATATGAAAGGCCTATTAAGAAAAAAAAATGAAGAAATTGACAAACATAATCAGATTTTTTTTTTTTATAACTCAGGCGATCCTAAAAGTTTTCTACGCCTAAACACTAATCATGAGACTCGGAGAAACCATGTTAGAATTAGAACCTCGGTGGCCAATGCTATTTGAACCCAAGTACTGGAAACTTTTATCTCTTTTACCACTTGACCAAGGCGACTTGGTTAAAAATAACCAGATTACTTTGTTATAGATCAAAGAAGACAAACAAAAAACAAAAATTTACCTTTGGTACAGACCCGCCAGTAATATATCTGGTGGCTTCATCATGATAGTGAACGAGATCCATAGTAGTTCGAAGAGCTCTTTGTCTTATGAGATTGTTGAAAGGCCATCGATTTAGTATACCCTCTGAGAATACATGAACACCTTTCCAAAATATATCTTGTAAAAATGAGCGTGGATAGTAGAGATCTTCCTACATGATCATCATCACGTACATTGCTTAAATATCAGATAGTATTCGGTAAACTAAGAGCATCTCCATCAGTAGACACGATGGGAGTTTCTCAAAAAAAAAAAAAAAAAACTATTTAATGAAATTATTTGTTTTTTTTTTAATAATTCAATCAGTAAATTTGTGACATGTGTGCAGAAACTGTGTCTCAGAGTTTCTGGGCAGAGAAACTGTGTCTCGCTCTTCATTTATTACTTTTTTTATTAATAAATTTTGGCCAGACACTCTCCTCCATCCCAAAGATGGAGGTGCTCTAACACTCCTTTGAAACTTAATTTTCAAAATAACATTTTGTTTCTTTTTTTCTTTTTTTTTTTTAAGTCTCCATAGAACTACCAATTCTATCAAAACATAAAAGTACCACTAACGCAAGATCTTTAGAAATATTACATTTCCCTAAAAAAAACTCTAATAATCAATTCTTTCATATAATCAGATATATTTATTTATTTACCTTTGCACATCGGTTTCGTGATTGCCTCCAATTGATTTTGGCATAAGGCTCCGGATAAAGCTCTTCTCGAAGCTGGAGAATGAGACGTGTTGGGGTAGCTACAAATTTTTTACCATACAAATATGACAACCCCATGAAAATATCCCGTAAATATATCCAAAGAGTCCCTGCATTTACATATATCTAAATATTTAAATAAAAAAGCGAAATTATATTAAAATCAAATAGATAACCAATAAAACAATATTATGAGGTGTCTAAATTTAAACCTCCATTAACAGGAAAAGAAGAAGGTAGGAACCAGAACTCAGGGGGTATAGGTTTGCAGCCAGACCAATCATATACTCCAAGAACCTGATCAATTGCAAATTGATGATATCAAAAGAGAGACAATTAATCTTTTATAGATAACTAAATATAAAACAAAGTAGTCACATACAGAAAGCCAAGCTTTTCCGATCAAGGGCGAGTATGTGGCACCACCGTGGTCGATGATCCATTTACGAGCCCTTGCACAAGCACTTCCTTTATCATCATGACCAGCTTCTACTCCCATAATTCGTAAACAAATGTAGTTGATTACTGTGCAAAACATATTACTGTGGCTTTCTACATGTAATCCCCATCCACCATCTTCGTTCTACAAACCAATTTTAGCTAAGTTTTTTTTTTTTGTATTTGATATAAAATATATGATGTTGAAGAATATAGCTGATCTCCGGGCTCCATGATTAGTTTTAGGGCCTAGAAAGCGTTTAAGATCACCTGAGTTATAAAAAAAAAACAAAAAAATATAACTATACCTGATGGTTGTACATGTAACGTAGCAACTCTATACGATGCTCGAGAGTAAAGATTTTGTCCAAATGTCCAGTGATGTACAAGCATATGACCTGTGCAGCATGAATTTTTTTTTTTGATCATTATATATAACTGACTATTTCGAAATTTACTGTTTAACTATAAAAGTTAATTTATAGTGTGTGGAGTAACTCACAAAAGGGGCGTTGAAGAAAAGGGAACCAGAGTTTTCTGCAGGCCAGTGTCCATCATCAGCTTGCAAGGCCGTGAAATAGAGTAAACCTCTTCTTAATGCCGTCTTTGCATCTTCATAGGTTATTTTTTCTACATCCTCTACTCTCACTCGCGGGATCTTCTGCTCAAACTTCTTTTCCCTAAGAAACTATCAAGTCCACAGAAAAAAAAAAAAAAAAAAAGAGAATTACAAAAAAATTCAACAAGAAAAAGAAAAGAAAATCAAAGAGAGATCACAAAATTGTAATCTGTTATAGATTGTAAAAGTTTTCACCTGCATCCGCCATAAGAGATCGGCACTGGCCTTGAAACGAGACCTGTTGTCAGAGAAATTCTGACGAACCTCCTCCACCTCGGCAAGTTCCTCAGGAGATCCTGCGTTGGCATCAAACTCCCAAATCTGCCTCCCAACATAGTTGTTGGTAGTGAACAAGTGAGTATTATCTCCGGCCTTAGCTCCAATTCTCAATCTCCACATTTTCTATGAGTTCTCTACGTTTTTTCGGAAACAAAGAACGTGTTATACATATATATATATGTAAGACACTGGTGAATGCATGTGAAAGAACCATATATAATAGTATTAATAAGAAACTGACCTTCGAACAAAAAAAATAAAAAAGAAAGAAACTGACGATGCATGCTGAAAAAAACTTATACTATATTATTATTATTATTTTAAATTTCTTTTGACAACCAAAAGATGATCCGAACTTTATACTAATAACTAATAATGAATTGAATCGTATGTTAACCTTTTTAGTAATGCCTCAATTTTATCGACTTAATAACATACTAGTTTATACTTTATAGTAACCCGCACCTGGGAAAATAATTATTAAATTAATTTAATATTGGGTCTGATTAGTAATCAAAAGCTGTACAAGTTTTTTAGCTGAGCTGGAGCTGTAAGATTTACCGGAATTTCTTACCGCAAAACTGTAAGAAAGAATTGTACAAAAAAACTGTGAAAATATCTGAGAGTAAAACTGTTAGTAACGCTTTTAATAAAGCTTTTGTGATTGGTAACGGTCAAAACTGTACACCCTATACCACTTTGATAATGGATTACCATTTAAAGTTATTAGTTTGACTATATAATCTATTGTAATGGCCAACGTATATAAAAAAGAAACTGGTGAATGCATGTGAAGAAATCATATAGAATACTATTAAAAGAAATTTCCACATAAGTCACAATTATAACTTATTCTTTCATGTCAAACGGGCCTTCCACAGAATAACCATTTTAGATTTTTCTGAACCAAAATAGTGAAATACCCTTCAAACCAAAACGGTTCTCATTCGATTACAATACAATTATTCATGTGTTTTGTCTCATCTATGATATAATTAAATAAAATAAAACAAATTATTTGGGAGAAGAACCGAAGCAAAACGAGAGCTAGGAAAAGTCGAATATCTCAACTTTTTCACCAAAATCTTTTTTGAAATTGTGAAAGATAATCATTTTAGAGATTATCTGTTAAATCTTTGATTCATCTTCGATCAATATTTAGTCAAGCGAGTAGCAACAAAATTAAGATTTTTGGCGAGGAAAAAAAGGCTACAAATTTCCACTTTGTAAGGTATCAGAGTTGAGAACTCTGACGAGAAGACGAATTTCGTGTTTTGGAATTCAGTAAACGTGACCCAAATCTTGGTGAAAGAAAATACTCGGCGAAAAGAAATTGATGGTGAAATCGGCGAGGAATATCGAGTCTCTGATTTGCATGTATTGAACATCGCCAGCGAGCAAAAGCAAAAGGTAGGGTTGGAGAAGAGGATACTCATATTAAAGATGACTACAAAATTACAATCATCCTTATTTGAACTTATTCCGTGTAAGTGTATGCAATTTGCACATGCATCCAATATTGATTATGTGGACATGTACGTCTTTTAGATTAAGTACTATTATGGAGACAATGTACGCAATATTTACTGAGTTTTTGTACTAGAAATCTTTGGTTAATTTGATTTCACAACATATCTTACAAGAATTAGAAGTATGGACTCGATATGAGAGGATAATGTTGTTGTATGATCTGAAGGGTTGCCTATTAGATTATTTTCTGTGGACTATTACCCTCTACAAGACGAAGATAATCTTCTCTCGGTTTGAATATTTGGTTGATATTTGTATTATTCATAAATGTACGTTTCAAGCTCTTGCAGTATGTATTCAAATGCACATGATCACAATCAACAAAACTTATATTGCAATATGTATGTACACGATACATGTACGTTTAAGTTGCAAGAGTACGTATACGATCACACGAGAATAAAGTACATAATACTCTAAAATATAGGATAGGCACTCTTTTTAGCATTTCTAGTTTGTTTTTAAAAAATAACAGATTATGAAAATAAAATATTTACTATTTGTAATTTGAGAATAGGGAGAGAAAATGTAATGGTATGTCCCTCGCGTACAAAGTAACTTGTGTATGTATCCTTATATTTATCATTGATTGACTTACAATTTTACTTGGCCTCACACAAGGTTGAATTTTAAATTTTAAGGGTCTCAGACTCATAAATAAATATTTATTTTTCTTTGTTATTTATATTTTCAGTTAGCATATTATGATTAAAAAATATTTATTTTTATTTTTTCTTTTTGATATAGCTTTTTCCTATATATTGTATTAAATAATTAAATATTTACAAAAAAAATCAAGTTCTCACTAATTTATTTTGGAAAGATAATGGAAAATTATTTTTATGCATCACATATTTCCAATAAATTTATATATATTATTATAGGGAATATATATATGATATAGTTTTAAAATTGCTTCAGGCCTCCGAATTAAGGACCGGTCCTTGTTGTTAGTTCAATATTGTTGTGAACGTATATGACTTAATGATAGACGTATACGAAAGATATTTGATGCAAAGACTGATTTGTAAACGTATATGTTTTGCAGGTTTTGGTTGTATATTGGTAATATAAATCACGTAAAAAATGTTATATATATATAAGAAATATTTAAATAATAATGAAATATAATAAAATCGATCTTAAAACATAGAAATTTTTTTTATACAATTTTGTATGTTGTATTAAATGGCATGCAAATATAATATGTTTTTACCTATCATTTTCTTATATCATTACTCTAATTATCTTGCACTATATATTATTGGTGGAGACTACGTAATGTTTCATACTGAACCCATAAACATACACAACAATACTAAGATACATGTACACGTACATGACTTAACCAACCAGTTACATCATAAAATTCCCAAATTCACTGCCCTAAATCACATAAACCATTTACAACATAGAATGTCTTCCCTATTGTACTAATATCTCATCAATCGGACATTGGCTAAGTCTCGTCACTTAGCAATGTAGAAAAATCATTATATACTTCAGAAGACTCATTCACAGTCACTAACCCTTCTTCAGGTTAAACCCTCCTTCATGATCCTCCAAACCAAATTCCACATCATTATCATTCACTTCACCTTTACCATGCCTATTTGTATTCGTATACGTCAAAAAAAATTCTTCGTTTACACAATCAGTAATGTACGTACATTTTTCTATATCATGTCTTACCTCCCGGTTAGGACTGAAAGATGGTTGAATATCACTATTCTCTCCAAAATCATTGATGCTTTTCTATCACATACACGTTCCTAATAGACAACTGAATTTCCTTATTGGTCTCACAGTCGGTTGAGTGCACCAACATCTCTAACATGTCCGATCCCATATTCCTCAACAACAAAATCAGTCTACTTCTTGTAATCATAATCTTCACCACTACCTTCAGTGCCGTCTATAGTCGGTCCCAAGACACTCTCCCTAATTGATTTATCGTTGTTCTCGTCATTTTCATCGTTGTTTTGGTCGTCCTCCTCATGCCCATCCTCTCTTTTGTCGTTCTCATCATCTTCCTTCTTATCCTTTATCGTCCTTTACTTCTTTTTTCCAATTGTTCTCATCCACATTTGAAGGTTCCAATATAGTTTTTGTTGTGTTTTCACCCCGATCCACAGTTAGTTTCATCAGCAGAGTCTTCCATCATGCACACACTATATTCACATCTTTCTTAACGAGTTGGACAAAAGGAAACACATGTTTACACTTGGATCCCACTACGAATAAAAAAAAAATGTATCCAAGGACATTTGAATGTCAATGTAGATAGAAGAACGTTATGTTCTATGATCATAGACATTATTCCAGACATCCAATAACTATTTTTTTTGAACAAACTCAGTAGACTTTAAGTTGAGCACCTCACATAACATATTGTTAGATTACGTACACAACTACCTAAGTTTCTTTACTCAGCTACAAATTTTCATTCTTCATATTCTATGCATCTCCACTCACAAACAATAATAAATACATAAATCTCCATTATACACATGCATCATAAATTTATGAGAAACACATATATCATAAATTCAAAAAATATTTTACAGATATTCTATGCATCACCATGGATGGTTGTTCTCTATGCCTTCTCTCGTTTCTTTCCCTCCAAATGGAGTAGATTGTGTTCTGAAGTACATACCCGAGAAGGAAGCTTTTTGTTCTGTCGAAATCTTTGTCTGCAAGTATCTTTAATATCTCTTGCAAGCTTGTCTTGAACCTGTCCAAGAGTATCCCACCCACTAGCTCTTCCCACACCTCTTTCGAATAAGGAAACATGAAGAACATGTGATCTCTTGTCTCCATAGGATCTTTTCAAAAGACACAACTCGAGCTTGCATTCTGCTTCCACTTTATCAGCCTATCCCCTGTTGGAAAAAAATAATATATAATTATAAAAGAAAAAAATAGAAAATTTGTGAAAACAAGAAGAAAAAAGTGGAAAATAATAATGATTATATATTTCTTATGTCATTTTTACTGTATCTTTGACAAAAACATAAACTGGATAATGTAGCAAACGAGAATAGTCTTATAATTTCATTTGGTTATAAAGGAATTTTCGTCCAAACACGAACAGACGGCTATCACGTAAGAACTTAATCTCACTTTAGCCAAAACTGGGTTAAAAAATGGGTCAAAGGCTATGGCCAGAAATTTACATTTTTCTTATTCTTTTGGGACTTAATATATCCAAATCGTTGTGGGTGTTTTTTATATAAATCAAAGATATCAATAAGAATAATAGTCATAACTACTTATTAAAATTTGTTTGTGTCAATGTTCATGTTGCTCTAGATTGGGACCTATCAGTCTTTGATTAGGATTCACCTATCACGATTTGATTTTTACAGCGGCTGACACGTTAATCTTTTGGGACATTGCGATTTTTCTAAACTCAAAAAATATCTCTAATTATCACAAAATTTAAATCAGCTCTTGCTCTTAAGGGTAAAAATGAGAAGGTGTCAACCCAGTTTTTTAGTCAAAAATATATCACTCTATAATTATTTAATTAAATAGCTAAAATATTTAACTAATAGATAAAATAAAGGTGTGCCCAATCGTGTATATTATGATAGTTTAATTTTTCATTTTGT